AACAGCTGTTTTCCTGGATCTGTACTCTTCTTAATTTATGGGACTATTGAAAGATGACGAAATGTTCAAAACCCAAGTGTCAGATGGAACCACCAGCTGCAAGCAAGTGGTTTCATTGTAATGTTTTAAACATTTTGACATATTTTCTTTGGAGAGAACAGACCAGTATAGAAGATTGTTGTCTATCTGTTTGTTTGTTTGTTGTATGATAACATTGACAGTTTTATTGACATCCATTTCCAGTGAAAAAATCCATTTCCAGAGGAAACGAAGTTGTGTCATCATCACATCTTTGCTGTATAAACTGTAGCTCTCACACAATCAGCATGTGAGAGATCACTCAGTTGTTCTGATGAAAAAGTCTCTCAAGTGTGCGTAACAATTATTGAGCCTCTCAAATGACAACTTTAACGCATTTTGGCTATTCCATTTTTCTCTGAAATAAAAGCCTATTTCAACACAAAAGCAAAGACAAAACCAAAAAAATAAAAACCAACATAAAGTGATTTTAGTTATACCCTAGCCTATCCAACATTAAAATATGAAACAAGTTGAATTTTCTACCCTTGCTGCGATATGTTTGATTTTTATGGACAGGCGCTCTTTAAACCAGAAAACCCCAGGTCATTATTTATGTGGGATTAATAATTATAGCAAGAGTTTTTTCAAAGCACAACAATATGATTGTTTAAAACTTTATTTAGTGAGCTTGTCAAATGCCATCCTGATTAATTTGATGGCCTTCTTTACATTGCAAACAGGACTTCAAGTCTTGGATATGGTCCCTCAGCCTGGATGATGTGGAAAGATTGGCATCAATACACATAAAGGAGTCTTCTGAAGTTAGCCAGTAGTCATGTTCTTTCTTTGATCAGTTCCAGCTGCATAAACAGTGCCTCTCCGGAGGCGAGGGGAGATATGCAACAATTTGGTACATTGGAGTCCATTCTGATGTCATGTCTATTATTTATGAGAACCAGATTTTCTGACCACAGATTGGAGCATTTACCACTCTTTGATAAGTAATATTAAATATATTTTTTGTAAATGACTTTCAAGAGATGCTAGGAGATTCTATTAGTTGTCTTTTTAAACTGCAATAATTGTAAAGCAAGGCTCCTTTGTCAGCTCCTTAGATAAAAAAGGCTCTATGTAAAGAGATCCCATCCAAAGAGGAAATGGGAGGCATTATTGAGAATAAAATCATATTATTTATTCGAAATTACATGTCATTAGGCTAAGGGCGGTGGGGGGTGGGGGCATGATGGTTAGTGATGTTCTTTGAAGAGCAAAACCACAATAGGTCATAGGTTGATGGTTGACAGTCTCCATCTCTCCTTTGATGTCCTTGTAGCTTAAATTCAGGTGGAAAATAAAGTGACACAGAGGTTTGACAAAATTCATATCGGAATATGTATGTGAGCAAATTACTGTTATCAAAATAGTCTATTATTAAAGGTCTTGTCAACCTCTTGTCTTTCATGACTAAAAGTACCATTTTATGAAATTGAGCTAGCTTCGGATTGTGATAATTTCCTTAACGTGACATTTTAAAAAATCTTAAAAACTAGAAATGTGATAATTTTATGATATATTTTTTTTCTTTCAAAAAATTGCATCAGCACCATGAAAAAATGAAAATATTTTAAAATTCTCATTCTTTCATTTCCCCTTTAAGACTTTATTTTTCACTGTTTCAGTCTAACCAATTTCACTTGAATTGAAAATGTCAAACTAACTCCGATCGTATTGCACCTCACATGTCAGTCATTTTTTTTAACACCAACTCCTGCCCCTTCCCTCCCCTCCATGTGCATCTGCTGTCAACCTCTAATTTCATTTGTTCTTCCTGGCTAGAAGCTCTGGTGTTTCAGGACTAGGGCCCATTGTTTTGTTGTTTGTTTATTGTTTTCTTATCCATTCCTGTTTGCTGTTCCAAGAGCTTCTAAGTCGCCCATAAGCATAGAGAGGAGAAGTCGTTACGTCACGTTGCCATGGTAGCAAAATTTCTTGGATGTCAACAAACCGTGGTCCAGCTAGCCTCCCCTCTGTTCGTTTGTCGTTTACTCGGCCGTGGCATAGTGATACCCATACTTAAATTTTCCAAATTGACCCTTGCGTTGCTTAGAACAAGCAAACCGCTTTGTAATCTTCACAGTGTCTAGTGTGTCCGTGATCGATTAGTAATAGGACGTCAATAGGCATTTGTGCTTCATGGTGCTTTAACCTCGTCCCCAGGGCTTTTTCCTAAAAAAATGGGAAAATCCCTAGGGACCAGGTTGATGGTGCGTCCCAGTGAGTCGTTAGAGGGCAGAAAGCCGTCGATGTCATGAGTAATGTCAAATACATCCGTAAGAGTTTGTGTACCTCTCCTAACAGAGTTTTTCAGCACCAAAACGTGGGGAGCTCTGCCCCCCTAACTTCTGTTTAGAGGGGGGGTTACAGATCCCCCTGCCCCCCTGCTCCGCCGCGTATACAGATGCATCAAGAGTTCTTGTGTCCCTGTCAGGTCCCCACCCACAGTGTTCCACACAGGTCCCGCGCATGTAGGATGTAGACTGTTCACAATCCCCTATTTCTCCGTAAGATCGAGAGCCTTGCGTTACCCTATAAAGGCCAACGCCCGCCCCGTCGGTACATATGAAACCAAGATGGTTGGCCGCGCCCGTACCGGTAAGCGCTGGATGCTGACGATAGGGTACTGTGAACGGTCTACCGCGCATGCTACATCAATAGGTCTAAGAACTCTAACTGGAGCTAAGTCATGATTGTTTGGTTATGTCTAAAACCCTAAAAGCACCGTTGGAATCACTGAAAACCCAGACCTCAGTTATAAATTATGTCTTTGGCTTTCGACGACTAGGAAGGAAAATGGCAATATTTGGGCCAACCGTTAGATCGGGAGCGGTCGTCCTTTTCTTCAGACCCACGCGCAGGGAAACGGTCAAATCCATGCTGCAGATTAGGGCTTCGCCGCTTGCCCCCCGCGCGTGCTTAACTAGCCAAAAATAATAACAGGTTGGCAAAAAGCGGCGGGGGGCTATCCCACAGCACGCCGATTTTTTTTATTTTTAAGCTATCAGCTATCACGCGTCAAGGAAAAATATAATGAAACATTAACTACATTAACAAGTATCTTATCACCATCATTTAATCTGAAGAAATCAGAGGTCGAAGAATTAGGAACGAGAAAAAAGGGCAGGAAGTTGTTGTCTCTGCTTCTAGTTTCAAATGATATTAAACATCACGGAAATTTTTAAAGGAAAATCACGCGTCACGCGTTGTGAAAATACCTTAAATCACGCATCACGCCGCTAGGCCAAATCACTCCTCACGCGGCTAATTTTGGCCCGATCACGAATCATGTTGATACTGTTTGGGTCCCATCACTCGTCATGGCTGAGGCCCCATCCAAATGAATCTGAATGTTTTTGAAATCTTTTACACGAATCGAAGTTCCGTCCACGCGAAACCAGTGAATCCAAGGATTTATGTAAAAATGATACATAAATGCGGTTTCAAAATTGTTTGGATTCATGTGGACACCCTGCCATAGCTTCAAAATTTCTAAGGAAATGAGCGTAAAAATGAAATAAAATAAAATAAAAAAATATATATTTATGACTTTCTACAGGTACAGGTGCGCATTCTTTTTTATTACTATTGTACTTTGTTTTATCTTCTTTATGCAAATTACATTAGTTATTAATGTTTAATTTTGGAAAGTCACAGCAATGAAACATCTTATTTTTTTTATTATTATTTTTTTATAATTGAGACAGCTGTAAACGGTGAACTTGCATATTAAAAATTGTCTTGTTTCCTTTCACTTTGTCAGTTTTTCAATCGAAAAAAGGGTTATTGCTAGTAGCACTTTTGGAATTTATGAATGAATGAATAAATAGTGATTAAATATATAAAAAAATACCGTTGAAAATATTGCGGGCGATGTAAATTATTGCGAAGCGAATGTAGTATAAAGACGAAGGTTTTTGCGTTTTCGATGTAAATCCCTCAAACTTCATGCATAATTCATTGTCGGCAAATATGAGGGAATAAAAACAAACTTTTGGGGGAAGAAGTGGTTTCAACGAAATTTTCAAATTAATCCTTTTTCAAAAGAGACAGTTTTAGAATCTTTTGATGTTCTTTCGAAGAGCGATGTAACTGAAATTATTTTAAGGACTGTTTTTTATTGCTGAACTGTTTCGGAGATATAATATAAAACAGAAATAAATATAAAAGATGTATAATTTATGCAAACCAAGCTAGTGTTATATTTCAACCTCTGCTCCTATTGGCTGAATACAACAATGGTTTGTATTTCTTACTTTCTCATTGGCTTGTTGTGGCAGATGGTAGTTTTGATTGACGTGTGATCTCTGCGTGTGGAAGTTGTGCCCTTGGAGCTCGTTTGTGAGTGGTGAAGAAGAGGACGCGGTAGCCACTCGTATGCGATCTGTAACTCGCGTTTTCGTTGGCTGTTCTAACTCAAACGAAACACCGGCCAGCCAACAAAAAATCGAGAAAGGTTTGTTTTACCTTCACGCCCTCCACCAATAATATTTGTTGCCTTTGAGATTGCCCATTTTTTACTCGGAACTTTTCGAATCGTTTTGATAATTCACCGCTCGAGTCTCGCGCCTTCGTTTTGTCTACTCCATTTTCTCCTTGAGTTGTTTACATCGATTTTTCCGGGTGTTTTTCGCAATTGTAGGCCCCGTGGGCTTGCATTGTTTTGAAGGCGACATTTTAGGGGGCATCTAGGACGTCTAGCGACCGATTGCACACTTACTTCTTCTTTTTGTTCCTGAAATGGCGTTAGTGAGTTGTCAGTCCAGAGCCAGATGGAAGGTGTTGAGGAAGCGAGAAATGAAAACGCAGATGGACTAGCGCAGCCCGACAGCGGCCAAGCAAGCGGTTATCCACAGACTGGGCTAGTAACATACGCCCAGGCGAGCACGAACGGCCATGGCGCTGAACAAGTCAGTATTAGAGGAGTACAACAAGTCATGGATAACCGACCCGAAGTACAAAACGAAACTCACGTTGGTTTGGGTGACGATCGAGGGCACCTTTCTATTACGAACGTCCCAGGTGGAGTGCAAGTCGCTGTTGTCCCTGCTACTGATGAAGTTGGCGTTGTAGATGGGAGTCTTGCAAGCACTCCATCCGCGGTAGAAAGGACAGACGATGGCTCTCACCAAGTTGTAACAGCCATGCCCGCGGAGTACGGCTTACCAGGACCCATATCGGCGCAATATGTTCTTCACGAGGAACACGAAGGTAAGCTTGACATTCTGTTGTTCGCAGTGCGTCACTGTCTCATGCAAATTAGCACTTTAATTACTTTGTTGAACTTAGTTTAACTAGTCATAGATTGAGATGAACAAAACGTGTACTTGACAGCGTAGATTTCAGGACGCGTGTTGATCATGTAAGTTTCATTGAGAGCACTACACGCCTTTTGTTTACTAGTAGTTGTAGTGTCGATATAAAAGCAAGTTCCTACAAGAGTTCTTTGTGGACAATTTAATTGTAAGGATGACTAGGGGCAATCTGTTAGGGCAGAACTTTGCGACTGTATTTAACTCAAGACGATCTTGACCTACTATCCTCTGACTATTAATCTCTATCCAGTGGGGTATTGCAGTTAGTGCCCTAGCCTTATACCTCTCCTCTGGATGTTGATCTATCCATTTGGCCCTAAAAGGATGATAGTGCTCTCTGCCGGATAAATCGCTTTGCAGGAAAGTATTAGGAAAACCAGTTGTATTTTTTCACTGGATTTAGGTTATCCAGTTAGCAGCACCCCATATTAAGCAGACACCTTGTATTAAGCAGACAGATAGCTCAGTATGTTTCAAACGTTTCTTCGAGTACATTTCAAGTAATACAAACATGTATTAATAGCATACACCTCTCTTAAACAGACACCAGTGTAGGGCCTGCAGGTGTCTGTCTATTAATACAGTTTTCACTGTATTCAACTTTTGAACGAATGGGGCAAGTAGTTCTGGTCTGACCACATCAACATCACTTTTTGTAAATGTGAAATAAGAAAAGGTTGGGGGGGGTGGTGATAGGAATCGGTGCACAGCATTTAATTTTGTAAACTTAAGGAAGTATGTGGCCTCCATTGGCAAGCTTCAGTATGTTTGCCGAACTGTGCTTTGTTGTGCATTATTTAATAAGTAAGTATTATTTAATAATGATTACTAAGAGAGACTAAGATAATGTGTTAAACAGTAAGGTGGGGGACTTCAACATAATCATCTTTTGACGCAAGAAAATTTGCGTCAGTGTAGAAACTTGAGACTTAAGTTGGTTTGTTTTCTCTTTTTATGTTGGCAATAGACTCAGGCACAATATATGTCAGGATGAAACATATAAACGAAACACTCTATCAAAAACCAGGAAGGCAATATTTAGAAAATTTTTTTATAAGAAAGAAGAAGGAAAACCTTGCAGAGCACATTCAACACACATCCAGCCGCTTTCGTGACTCCAAAATACGCACAATGTATCTAAAGCCTAAAATTTAACCACGGGCACTTAAGGATTTCATGGTAGCCCTAAGACTCCCTACCCCCTCCTTCCCTCACCCCTTACCAGCCCATCTGATAGAGTGCGATAAAAAATCAGAAATTGTGCGATATTTTCAGGGTAGATTGTGCAATAAGATAGGACTATTACGTGATAAATTATGCGATTTTTTTCAGGGCTAACTAACATTATTTTACCAGTTTCAAAGAAGAGAAATCACTTTAATGTTGTTTAACATGCAATTTGAATGTAAAAGAATAATACAACACCTATTTTAAAACAACGTAGTAAAATTTGTCCAATTTTCTTGACCCGGAAAAGAAAACAAATAGAAAGAAAGAAAAAGGGCACTTGTTTACTATTACATGATGCCGTTACACCACTGACCACACTGCTTGTTTCTGAAATCAAAATGGCTGCCCAGATACTGCGATCGAAACTTTCAGATGCCTTGCAAGGCTTTCTTTAGTGGTAAATCACCTTGAATGACATTAAGATTGGGAAAATGTGTGATTAAAGTTAGAATTCATTATTTATTTTATTTAAATTCCAGTATGTTTTTTATGAATTATGCGATTTTCCTCAAATTGTGTGGTCAGATGTGATTTGAGATCACTTGTGCGAAATTTGCACCATTGCGTAAAATCAGATGGCCTTCCTTACCCCAGTAATTAAGTACTCTGGAATGGGTCTACTCTACACTGTAGTTTGTTGTCAATTGTTATTATTATATTTGTGCAGTAGGGCTTATATAGAATTTATTAAAATAATGGTCAGATGCTTACACATACTATATTTGAAAAGTTCCTGTTAAAAAGCAGCCCAGGTTGTATTGGACTTTATGAAGCAATTTTGGTTCTTCTATTTAATTGCTTGCTTTAACAGCCCCTGTTTTAAACAATCAGGCTAGTCTGATCACATATCGTGTATCTTGGTTTACTTTATTATGAAGATACATGTAGAGTCAGTGTCATAAATAGATTTTTCCCTTTTGATTGTTTTTCTACAATTGACAATGCTGCAAAACACCCTCATCAGAGTTTTCAGATAGTGCCTTGTACGCTGTATGGAGTAGAGCTCATAAAATTTTATACACTTGTTATTTTCTTTGTGCCAATTATGCTACCACAAATCACTGAACTGTTCGCACCCCAAAAAGATGCATTTGAAATTTTTAATAGCTCAGTATTGTGATTATTTCAAGCAACTCATCTGACTTTCCCTAATTTAAGTTTGAAAAATAACTTGTCTCAAAGAAAGAATCCTTTTTACCTTTGCGGGCAAAGGATGCATCTTAGTCAGATAATTTGCTTCATAGTCAGTGAGTATTTTAATTGTTTTGGTGTAAACCCTACTTATTTGGGTGAAGTCACTTCCATTTAAATCTTGCTCTGCTAGACTTCAAGTTTACATTATTATTGCAGTCTTGCTCCCAGTAAACTCATTCTATGTTACAAGTTCAGTGGTAGCTTAATACTAGTGGTTTCCTCTAACTCACTTTCACATTGAAACTGCTACTGTGTAGCCTTAAATGGTGTTTTGCTATTTAAGGTATTATACGTCACTGGTACATGTAGTTCCAACTATTTTAGTCTCTGGATGAATCCTGTCCAAATTGTGTCCATATGATTGAAACCTCAAAAGTTGTGTGCATAACATTTTATTGTCAGTACATTATGAATTTCTTGAAAATTGAGAGTTTGAAGAGAGTTTATTTATTTATTTAGTTATTTTTTTGAAAGGCAAACTGTAGGGGAGTGTTGCTTTTCACAAGCTTGTGACACATTATTTAACCAGTAACTAATCTGTTTCTTTATTCAAGAATCAACCTCTATTAATTTCAGGGTTCTCACTAAGATTTCAAGTTGCCGGGTAAATACCAGAAGTAGGTGGGGAATCAAATGGCTAGGGATTTCTTTTGGTTCTATTTTTGTTCTATTTTCCAATAAAAGTAGCCAAGGGTCACTCTCTTAGTAGCCGGGGAAAATCCCTAGCCCCCGGCTCTTAATGACAACCCTGAATTTGTATGCAGTGATGGTGGTAACCAAATTTAAATACCATTGGATAACTTCAGAGTAGCTGCAAGTAGAAAGAGAAGAGAACTGTTTCATGCATATTTCTATCTGGCCTGTTTTCTAGTTTTTCTTTTTTTTGTTGTCCATAATGGTAAGATTCACAAAAAAAATCAGAAAGCATAATTCAAAACTGAAAAATAATACTAATTTTTGCTGAACTTTCATCGTAGTGATTCTGAACAAGAAAAACTGTTCTAAGTTTCTATTTTTTAGGAATGATCAAGTTAATATTGCTCACTGGTAAATTTTAAATAGGTGTGCAAAAACATTTTTAATGTACACCTAAGAGACAGCCTTCTTTAGTATATGTTTTCCGTAGACATTTTTGTTACAATAAAATTAATAATTAATTTCTTTTTCTTTTGTGATCTATTATTTCTTGATAAAAATTTAATGTGCTTCTTTTGTGCATGGTAATTATTTTCCTGTATGATATTTCTAAGGATGAATTAAATAAATATTTTGTAAGTCCCATTACAGTATATACATGTACAGTGACATGTTAAAAAATATTTGAGTTCTCTCTAAATGCGCCAAAATCAGTCTACTTGATAGTATTCATTTTTAAAGCAAGTTCTTGATTGTGGCATTACAACTCTCAGTTCTTAACAGAGTTCAATGAAAGGAAAGATAAAACATTTTAGGAGTTTATGTAAGGACTTTGGGAAATTATCACTTTATATCCAGCAGTTATTTGAATAATTTATCATACACAAAAGATAACTAAATTGTCCTCAGAACAAGTGTATTTCATCACTGTTGATCCAATCAGAATTCTTGTATTGAAAGGACTCATTTCTTTAGATCAGATAAAATCTCAGTGATACATTTTTTGGGGGCTTAATTGTGTAATTAAGATTGGATTATTAAATTTTAAAAAGAAAAGGGAAAGGTAAAGAATTTGAAAAGTTCACCATGAACATGAATTTAGGATACGGAGGTGGTTATCCGCTGTTACCCTACGAACCCAATTTTCCTCCGCCGTTTAACCCATATCCTTTTGTTAAAGGTTAGTCGTAGTTGTTTGTGAATGGCTTGTGGGTGCGTTAATTCTATCGTATGTAGGAGTTGTACTGCAAGGTGAAACAAAACTTAGGTGATTGGCTGTTGTGTTTGATGAATTTGTCTTGGTTCACCAATAATTCACAGAACTCTTTGCACACTTCCAATCATCTTCTAATAGAAATTACATTCTTAGGGATTATTCTCTAAAAATAAGAGAATTTTTGCCTTGTCCAATGGTTGCCAGAAATTTGCTAAAGCTTCCCAATCAGTCTTGAGGAATGTTTTGTGGCATTGATTGTGTGTGGCATTGATTGTGTGTAGAAACCCGTCTCTGATTTGAAGAGAGCCCTTCAGCTTTGGTTTTTTGAGATTACAACTCTGCTTGGAGTTAGTTTGAGGTGTTTGCTGATGCATGTTGACAGGAAGGTTTTGTGGACATAAACCATTTGAAAAATTATGTTTCTATTCGTTTGTGGTGATCTCTGTTGTGGTACAGACGGTGAAAAGAAAAATAATATTTCCCGTCCTTTGTGGTGGTCTTTGCTGCTGCATAACTATTTTACATTTTATAGATTATTTCCTTGAGGAGCAATAAAAAAATAATGTCTATTTTACAGGTAACTCAGCCATGAGGATAGTAATTATTTTGGCCAGTGTACCTAAAACTCCCTCCAGATTTCCCCCCAAGAAAACCTAAAAGAAACGCAGTGTACAGCTGTACAAGACAATAACTTTATTTTTTATACCTACTTATGTAAGGTGTAAAGCCACGCAGAAAATAGGTAAAAAGCTAATCTAGCTGAAGTCATTCTGTGCTTGTTGCTTACTGTATGTACCAGATTAAAACATAAAAATGTGCTGTATACAGTAAACCCTTAAACCTTTAGATAATCCTGATTTTAAGTGTAAAGGTTATGCAATATACCCTTCTACAAGTTGGTTGTGGAAATTACTATTTTTGATTGCCTTGCTCTTTGTTAGTTTATTTTTTTAATAATTTTATGTAAGTATTGTTAGTTCATGTATTTCTGAAGAGGACATGATAAACATGTATATTATTGAAAATGATTGACTATGCTGTGGGTTTCGGCCGATGAATCTAACTGAACAAAAAATTGAATGTTAAACGTCACCAAATTTTGCATTTTCTTGTTTAGTGTGATATACTTTTTCTAAGCAGTCATGATAGTCACATTTTGTGATTTTATTGGTAGAGTTAAGAGGTAATTTTATTAGTAATGGCTGAATCTGCAAGTAGGCAAAGTGATTGCAAAGGGATGGGGGGAGGGGGGGGGGGAGAAGAGTAGTATCCAAAGGGCCACTGGACACACTGTTGGAGCACAGCCTTGTCACACATTTGAGTTTTATACACCGACTGAATAGGTGATATTCAGCTTCAACTCAAGATGTATACTGAAGTGGGCAAGATCAGTAAAATAGAAGAGATTGTTTTGTACTTTTTTGAGTTCTGAATGTTTACAATGTAATTCTTTAACCTTGTCATCACACTCTCTCTCTTTTTTTTCCAGGCAATGAGGATGCTGGTGTCCATGGTGATGTAGATGGGGAAGAAAAGGAAAGAGATGACATCCTTCGAGAGCAGGTATATGATGGTACATTTAGTTTTTGCTTCTTAAAATTCAAACTGTAAAATGAAAGCAAGGAATCACTGTTGTATTTTGTACTTGTGTTGAGTTGTCCCCGAATAGGATGAAGTGTTCTTTTTTTTCAGGGCTCGAAAATAATTGTGACTCACTGGTCGCCAATGCAACCAAAAATTGAGCACTGGCGACTAAATTTTCAGAACTGCTCGCCAGCTGGAGACTCACGTTTTGTCCGATGACTAAAGAAAACCACGACACAACTTTTGTTTTTAAATCTTTATACAGGACTTCTGATATTTCGCGCGGTCGCAGAGCCGCGAAATTCAGGTAAAGCTGCGAAATCCCGCGATATTCACAAAAACACGCAAAATACCGCGAAATTCGGTAGAAATCTTATCAAATAAATGTCTGTACAGCAATTTTGAAACTTGTCTCAGCTACTGGGGTATTTACTTGCCGTATCCTCGCAAATTTATGTCAAAACTTCGTCACTGAATTTGGAAACAACATTCCGAAACTACCAGGCGTAGATTATGTTGCGAAAAACTGGGCACTAGCCATCATGTTAAAGGCTTTGCCATTGGTTCATTTCTAGAGCGTATTGTTGTTGAAAGAGCAGATGATGACCTCTGTTAGAAAAACATTAAAAACGCTAGTCTGATCAGCGCAAAACCGATCGATTTGTTGCGAAATTTGCCCTGAAAATAACCACAAATTCCGCCGTTTTTTCACCGATTGCTTTCCGGCCAAGTTTGCCCTGAAAATTCCCGCGAAATCGACCGATTTTTCCGCAATTTTGTCCCCAAAAATCCCGTGAAATTTGATTTTTTTTTCTGCGAATTATCAGAAGCCCTATTTATAATGTATAATGTATAATATATTTTTAGGAAATCAATCGCATATGGTAGCTAGTATACAACTCACCTTTCCGTTCCCAGTGAGATAATGTCTGAATATTACAAGATAATTGAAAAAATTGAATTTACTTCGACACGTCGATACTGCGTTCACGGCGCACCACATTGTTTCAGCGGCTTCTTCCGAAACTGGGATCCCAGGCGCAGCGAAAGGCATTGAGGAAAGCAAGTCGAAAATAAAGAACAGCATTTCGTAGAAGTAGCAAAGGCCAAATACGCAAGGACCCGTGTTTGTCTCAGAATGAAAACCACGGACATAAAACATTTTAATTTATGCTTCGCTTCATTTAAATGACTATGGAGACAAGCATCACCTTCGGACCAGAGACATATCACCTGAGAACAACGGTAGCTTTATAACTAAGTGTTACTCGTGTTGTTTCTAATTGTTTTCGCTCTTCAGTTGTGACTTTTCTTGAATGTAAAGTGACGTATAAAATCGTGTTCTTGTGTAAGTTATGTATAAAATAAGTTGGCGACCAAAATTTACGATCTGGCGACCAAAATTTTTCCTTTAGTCACCAGCTGGCTCCCAAAGAAAAAGTTAATTTCGAGCCCTGGTTTTGACCCTGCCCATTACCCCTCTTGTGAGAGATTGTTCCATGGTGTTTTCAGTTCTTGACGGGGACCAGTTAGTGAAAATCTGTCTGCAAAGAATGTCTTGAAATCAGTGAAGTTGCCAAGTTTAAAAGTGATGCGTTGAAAACTAACAAAGAATGATATAAACATATTTGCTTAGTACATGTACATTTGGGTTGGAGGGGAGGGAAGTATATTTTCTGGAACCACCCACCCAATTGTTGTTTGCTCCTAAAAGAGGAGGTCATCTACAATGCACTTCTCTTTTAAGGAGACATCTCTAATTCATACCCCATTTTTGGTCCCAAAGATAACAAAATTTATAGTGCACTGACAATGTTATTGATGATAAAGTTTCATCCAGGTTGAAAAGTTTGGTGTGTTTTAACACAATTTGACTTCAATTATTGCCACTGAGGTTAATTAATGTTGTATTCTCCACAGGATCGATTCTTGCCGATAGCAAATGTGGCCCGAATAATGAAAAAATCTATTCCCAAGACAGGAAAGGTAACTTGAATTTTAATAATACAAGACAAATTCTGTAATACTTGCTGTGGTGTTCTTGTTACGTGTAGTTTGTCATAAATAGATAAATAAATAGCTGCAAATCAAGTCAAATCAAATCCTTTATCTAGACATGTAACACCCAGGAGGAAGGAGGCCTTTCAGATGTTGGTCTTTCCAAATTTCCCAACAAATCCCTTCAAAAATTTAATTTTTGATGTGATCACTTTTAGAACTCCAGTGTTATTTCTGTAACTGTTGTGCATTTGTGATTTTCTATATTTAGATAGCAAAAGATGCCAAAGAATGTGTTCAAGAATGTGTATCAGAGTTTATCAGCTTCATAACTAGCGAGTATCCTTGCAAACATTTGGAAATCATCTGTCTTTTTGTGTTGTCTTTAATGTCATAAAGTAAATCTTAATACTGAATCTGCTATGCCTAGTGTTAACAAACATACCTTCTCTTGCATGGAATGATTATTTCAGCCTGATGCCTTTGTTTAAATGTCATGATTTAATTCAGAGTAAGACTAAGTTCATCCATGGGCTAGCACTTTCATGTTAAACATTCTTCAGCACCTAAAGATTTTAGTAAATAAATTTTAGTATTTTAAAGAAGTGTAAAAAGCAAATTTGACTGCCTGGTGTTTGAAATGTTTTTAATTAATGAACTGAGACCTAGTCTCAATGTACAATCAGACTCACTTCATGCAAAAGCTTTTAAATAGCTGTTTTAATTAGATCCTATTTTTGTTGTTTCTCTGCATGCTTTTCCTTCATTCTTTTACATTTTCGAACATTTTTTATAGTTCTTAATGTATTTTTACACCTTTCACATATATGTGCTAATAATATTCTTTTAACTTTTTACTTGTAAACCTGAAAATGACTGAAGATCGGTTGTTTTTGGCCGTTATTTTTGCTGTGTTACGTCTTAAGCTTTTAGTTAAGTTTATACGTATTCTATCATGTTTAAGTTCTTAACTTTCAAAAACAGAGCAAGTGAACGGTGTCACCAAGAAAAGCGCAAGACAATCAATGGTGAAGATATTTTGTTTGCAATGCAAACATTAGGATTTGATAATTATGTTGAGCCCTTGAAGCTTTATCTTCAAAAGTATAGAGAGGTTAAGACCCTATGTAGCTTATGTGTATTTCCGTTTTGTTAAATTTGCAACCCTGCCTTTTTGGAGAGAAGCTGCTGAGCTGAAATATTGGCCAGTGTTGAATTTCTAGTACACTCTCTATAAAATAAATGTGGTTTTAATCTTCTCACACCCAGAAGTGGCCAAAGTAGAAGGAGATAGAAACTTTCAAATTCAGGGTTCAAAGAAAGTCAGTTTTATAATTATTATTTGCTGTTAAGAGTTATAAGTAAAGGTGGTAAGAGAAACAAGTTTTCCTAGTATCCCTATTATTAAAGAAAATGATGGGGGACTGGGGGTTGCTTATTCAAGAGGGGTTCTTTTTTGACATTGGTGCTTATTCGGTGGAGAACGCAATATTAGAGCATGGGTGCTGTGGGTGCTTATTTGAGGGAATTTTTCTTTTTCCTTTACTTTACATCAGTGCAGGGTTTTCCCGCTGAAAACAAACATTATTATTATTATTATTATTATTATTATTACAAATTTAATGATGCAATTGATTTTATTTATTGACATCAAATAGTCAATCAAAGGAGAGAAGTCAGCTATTGTGGCAGAGGACAGAGGAGCAGAAATGGAGGATGATGAACATGCTGTCCATCAATTCCAGGTTGCAACTGGTAAGACAGTTCACTAGAGTGTTTTTTTGTATTACGCAAGGCTAACAGAAGTAGTTGTTAAAAGGCAGCAAATTAACATTATAGATTTGAACAGCATTTTTTTTACACTGTACAAGTCTTGAAACGGGATCATTCATTCGTGATTAGTGGCTGATGTCCAAGTCTAAGAAGGCCAACACGTCTTGTTGTTTTGTTTTGTGGGTGTTTTTTTTTTTGCTTTTGTTGTTATTATTGATCATCCAAGAGTATGGAAAGTAATCAGCAATCTCCAGGGAGTATCCATACCTTACACCACCCCCCCCCCCCCCATCCACTTCAGAAAGGTGTAGAAATTGCAAGGGGTAGGACCCTAAAGTGTCCCTTAGAGAAAGGTCAGGGAACAATACTAGATGAAGAGTTATACATTCTATTACCACTAAAACCTTATGTTGGCAGAGTACACTTTTCTGTAACCTTTCTTCATGACTAAAGATACAAGTCTGTCACTTAATAAGCAGCATGTGCTTCTGTAACAGTTGATCATTGCTTTCACTGTCTGTCCTAGTCTGTAAACAAGCTCTCCATTTGTGACTTCTTGTGAATTCCCCAAATAAAGAGCTTGATCGTGGGCTAAAACTGTCCCCAAATCACACACTTCATTAGACTGTTTAGTCTCCTATTTTCCCTTTAGCTCTTCAGGATCGAGCCCATACCCTCACCCTTCTTGCTTTCAAATGTAACAAGACTCGCCTGGGGACAAGTGTCAAATGTACTTAATGGGTGCTTCATTCCTGCCTATCAATACTTCCAAAGAATGTCTATTCAGTGTAATGGTTTTTTTTCTACTTTGTCTCAGCAGCTCACCTTCACCCTTCAATGATTGCCACAGAACAACCTCCCACAACAATTTACAGCACTGGACCATATCAAACTACAGTATGTGTTTGTTCATTTCTTGAAGTGAAAAATAGTACCCCTTAAAGGTTTGCAATAGACTCTTCCTCAGTTCTTTTGTCTTTTGACATGAAGTTGCTGCTGCAGTTTGAGGATGATTTGCTGAAAACTAACGAAGATATAGTTCCACAAATTTGTGAAATTTTTCATGTGTTTGCTTTGTGCGGAGGGAGAGCAAGTTTGTGCCCCCCACCATACAAACGTAATTTTGTGACTTTGTGATATTACCGGTACCTTCGTTTGCTTTAAGTGTTGAGTATCACTTTCAAACTTAGCAAGTTTACTAATTCTCAGTATGGATGGATATTCCCCAACTGGTCCCTATCAGAAGTTGAAAAAAGGGGTCTATTCCACAGCTTTCAGATATTTTTCCTTACTATTAAAATTCTGTTCTTATTTGTAGATTTTCATATTTTCCGATCGAAATAGCAACATCCCTGAGATCTTAGATTAAATGTGTTAAGGAGTTTATCTTAATCTGCTTCTCACTACAACTCTTTATTTGGATTTCTTTTAGATGCAACAGCCATTACATTTCCCTTGAGATGTTAAAGATCCAAGTTTATCATTCAAAATGGTTATACTATGTACATACCGGAAGTGCGACACATATTATCACATACATGTAATGCGTTTTGTCACTTAACTTGTTCCCAGTCTTTATTGTTATTTATTTGGATTATTGATAGAGAAGAGACTGGGCACAAGTGAAGTGATACACTGTAAAAGGCATTTAAAAAAAGAAATAGAAATTTTTAACACCCAGGATGCTGGAAGTGTTGCTTTCTCCTTGGGGGCGATAGAATTGAGTGGCAAAGGCAAAGAAAACTCTCACTGACGAGCACTTCACCCCTTATGCTTCTTGCCACTGGTGATTGAGAAGAACTCTGGCATCCAGGGTGCTGGAAGTGTTGCTCTCTCCTTGGGGGCGATATAATTTAGTGGCAAGGAAAATAAAACTCCCACTGACGAGCGCTTTGCTCCTTATGCTTCTCGCTGCCAGCGAGTGAGAAGACCTCTGGCATCCAGGGTAAACTTGTGGTGAAACCTTAATAGGAACATCATAAGTAAAGCTGGTTCGTAACATACTGGGGCATGTTACCTGTATGTCAACCTAAAAGGGAAGCTTGAACCTTTTTTCAACAGTGAAAAGTGAAAAAGGAAACCTTGGTGAAATATTTGATAGTATCTAAACTTCCAAGTTTGTGTTGAGTCATAAAAATGATGTACTCCAATAAGTCTTTGTTCGGTTTTCCTCGGCATTTTTTAATTTGAAAATTAGATGTTTTTGTTACATTTTGGACACTTTTTGATAGCAATACAGCTATATGTGTATTTCAAGGCTTGCATTGACACATCGCTATTACAGACACCTGGAGAGAAGCTACATCCCCAGCAAAAATAAATTTATTACAAACACTAGACTGAAGTAAACCTCCCTAGTTTTGTCGACTCTCAAAACAGTCCACTCTCATTTTGCGGACACCACGTTGTTGTTGACACCACAACAATAGAGTCAACACACTTTTAAAGGACACCTCTACAAGACAGACTAGAGGTGGTCCCTGCCTTTCTTTACTCCTTTTAGTTGACTTTAAGAGACAGACATCTCTCTAAGACATACATTTAGTGCTGGTCCTAAAGGTGTCCATCTTAGGGCGCTTTCCGAAAGTCGGAACTGGCCGGCCAGACCATGGCTGGACCGGTCATTTTGAAAATGAAAGAGGCTTTTTCAAGGAGTTTTTGATGAGAAACGATTTCCTTCGTGCGTACTATTTAGGATTTTACTGATCTGACTGGATAGTTTTGATTAAAAGTAAAAATAATTCTCATTACGACGGGTATATCCTGGCCAGTCAGTTCTGACAAATGGAAAGCGCCCTAAAAGAGAGTTGACAGCATTGACAGGAGCTACATCCCTAACATATTAGTATTTCAGTCACATGTCTGCAATTATTGCAGACGTGTGACTACTGTAAAATCCGCCGAAGAGTCACGGGTTTCACTATTGAGGACATTTGCACAGGCAATGTTGTCCGCGATAAATGGAGTTGACTGGGAGTTACAGGAAAAACAGCCCTGTAGTGTTAACTACGTCATTAGGATCTGCACGTATGTAGTGTGGGCTTAATTTGTGAGCTTGATGTAGATACATACTGTAATCTGGTATTAGCCTGGTACAGGCATAATGTAAGAGGTGAATCACGTAAGAAGTTGTTTTAAAGGAGCTGGGCTCTTCTACATTTAGCAAAGGCTGAGCTGTGTTCAGACAAAGGATTGTATGAGGAGCTTTTCCCGATATTGATGACTAAAAACTCACTGTAGCCTGCATGCAGTTCTTGTTTCTTTGAGTATAATAGGGAAGTCCTGTGCGCAGGCATCAAAATTGCCGTTATACTAGATAATCTCCCATCTGTATCACTGTCAATAGTCGACACTAAAATTATCCTCGCAGTATCATTGGTTAGGTCATGATCATAAGAATATTAAAGCTGGCTTTTGCGGCACCCATTTGGCTTTTGAGCTAATAACTCTTCCCGTGGGCGGTGCCCGAGACTTCTTAGTTGGAAGCTTTCGGGCTCACAGCTTTGATTGTCGGAGGTTTACAGCCCTCAAGTGCATGAACACCTTTGTTCTCTTGACATCGGAACAACTTTCGTTTCTTCTAGAAGAACAGTGAACCCTTTAGGTTCCAAGAGTGACCAACATCAATTTTCTCCTAACAATATCCATACATGATCAAGAGGTTATGAGAATTCTTGAAATGATCACTAAAGGGAAAGTGCTTTGATCTTTTGTCAAATTCTCTCAAGGAATTCTTATCGGAAATGTATAGAGATCAGTTTGGAGAATTTGTATCTGGATATTGGTACTTAAAGGGTTAAAAAAGAGCTTGATGGTTGTGTTCTTCAAGGGGCAATTTGGTCCAGTGTCTGATCGAATATTACCCAATGAAACAAAATTTTGTGTACATATTTCTTAGAAATTTGGATTATTGGACCTTAGTGTATTTATATTATTTGACGGTTTTATTTCCTTTCGGCTGCTAGGGCCTCTGATAGCATTTGAACAATACTGGAAAGTTTTATTAGTAGAGAATACAGCAGATTAGAGTAGACTACACATTATGGTAGAAAATGATATATTAAATCAACTTATCTCATTGCTTACAGTTGTAGATGACCTACAGAAATAAAACCTTCATTTAAAGTATAAAACGGTTGTTCAAATTATCCTGGGACGAACTCTACTCTTCCGGTCGTTTCAAAAGACTGTTACTGTAAGGAATGCCTTCCGTGTAATCAGTTCAAGAGCCCTTTCGGTAGCTTGCGAGAACACGCGCGAGTGAGTAGCGTGCGTCCACTCTCGCGTGCCGTTCACAAGTGACTTCTCGCGGTGTCCCGCAAGTTTGGCTCAATTATTTTCATTATGTCTTCTGGTGACATGTTGGTAATCTCATCTCTTTTTCTTTGTAGCTCCGAGCTGCATTTCCCATGATTATCTGCAAAAAGAGAAAAGGACAATTGGAATGATGTTTTCAAGAGAATTTGCTTCTCACTAACGCGGACAGTCAGAGAAACAGTTCTATAGGGTTTAAAATCGCGTGGACTGAATTGGAAAACATGCAAGCTAAAGAGGTCTATAATTGTAAATTGCATTTATTTAATTTATCTTTCGTTTAGATTCCGTTTATCATTTGCCATTGCATTCTGTACTTATTACAAAGCCTTACCACACACGCAAAAAAGGAAAACAAATATTGAATTAGGACCTTTAGTAATGAACCAAAGGGGTTTAGGGTTGGTTATTTACAACCTTAGACAAGGAGTTTTGAAACTCGGGACTACCGAGAAGAGCATTCATTTAGCTGTCGGGAAATCATGCGCTCTAAGTGCTTAGGAACGCCAACAGACCGAGAATCGAACCACGACCCTGGTGGTGGTGGACGGTGCTTTGCATTTTGCGTCATTCTCTTGATGCGTAACGCTTTCTGTTTGTCGTTCCAGTTACCCCCGAGGGGTCCTAGTGATAGGCTAATGGGGACGTGCCGCTGGATGGGGTCGCATTTTCACGGCTGGATTGACTATAATGGGTTTCTATTTTCATTAGAGTTACTAGAATGGGATTCCACATTTTTGGGATTTGGGGGATCAGAAAATTCAGGTAAGTAGGGATTTAAAATTGGGAAGATTTTTACCTCACTAAGTTTAACCAATGTGAGGATGACCTAGTTTTAAAGGGTTTAAAGGTGGATGCCAGAAGGTTACTAAGTTGGGATCGCGAAAATTACATTTTTCCAAAAGTGACTAAGATGGGGAATATATTTGGCAAAAGAATAGACTTTCACAGGGTAAGGGTTCTGAGAGGCCTGCTGCACATACTCAGCAAAAATTTTAACCCAAGTAATTCCTCCTGGACCAATTACATATGCAGCTTCGTAAAGAGGCAACTTCCCAAGACCTTTATGATTCAACCTTGCTTGTCGCTAGGGCTTTTCCCTTGGAAAATATGAAACTGGGAAAATTAAGCCTTGTGGATGAGGTTGCATATGTTTGAGACCGTATTCAGCATATAGCATTGTTAATTATGTGCTTACTTACCCAGTCTGGCAAAGACTGCCACCTCGCATATAGTCAGATGTCCTTTACCAACCATACTAACAGACACGTGACGTCCAGCGATTAGCGGTTTACATTCTTGTGTCCAGACCTCACCAGCAGAAAGCTGTCTGACTCGGTCACCGCACATTGGGTTTTGTTTGTGGTCTGTCAGGATACCGACGCGAATTTCAAAATTAGACAGAGGACTAGACTGAGGACCTGCGAGTGAAAAAAACTGTTGCTCAGTGAATTATTTATTTACAATCGTACATTCTAAATATGGTTTGCATCACCGAAGCAGGGAGCGTTCTCTTCTTTGTCAGTCCCTTTTTCAAGCCTTCATGGACCCCGTGGCCCGCAACAAATAGGCCGCGAGAAATAGGGCTTAGGGACCTGGCAACATCGAGCCATCATGTTGATAGACAAAAAGAAATGTCTATACTTCCTCTTTTTTCACCGACCTCTATCTATGTTTATCCATATATCATTTCACTTATTCTTCATTGATTTAAATATTTACAGTGGAACCTTCCCTTTGGGACACCTCTATTCAGGGGACATAAATTTGGTTCCGGAAAAACGTCCACATAATCTTTATCTGTTACCTCTTTATTAAAAAAACTCCTCTATTCAGGGGAAAGGAACACTCTTTCTGGGTCCCGAAACCCACCTTTAACCTTCATTTAAGGGAACTATTAGCACTCAAAAAGTGACTGGCCCCATGAAACGTTGATAACTTTCAGTGGGCTGGTGACAATGACGATAGCTTTCAAATCATAAACTATCTCACTTAAATTGTGGGATCTCAACACAGAATTTTGCACGGATGAGTTAATCATGATTTTTTGGTGTATTATATATCAGCTTGAAATACGGTAAAATCCCGAAAATAAGCCCCGGGGCTTATGTCTTTCAAAGGCCCTTTTTGAGGAACTTATTTTTAAAGGGGGCTTATATTCGGAGGGGCTTATCTAAGGAGGGAAATTTGCGTTTCAAAATCGATTGGGCTAGCTTTATAGTTGGAAGGAAAGTTACCGTTTTTGCTTTGTTTTACTTTGTATATAAGGACAGTTCCAAGTACAAGCCCCCCCCCCCCGGGGGGGAAGGGGTGCGCTTATATTTGGAGGGGCGATTTAACAGAGGGTCTTTTGCGTTACGAGTTTGGGGGTGGGGGGGACCTTTTAATCGGAATATTACGGTATTGACTGCAGCAGACTCCGAGGCAGAATGAAAAAAAAAAGATATTTTATTTGTAGGTTAATTATTAACAAACCCCAGTCCAACCTCCTTTCAGGAGACACCTCTGTTCAGGGGACACTTTCCTTGGCCCCGAGGGTGTCCCTTGAATAGAGGTTCCACTGTATCTGATTGTTAGGTCTAATTTTTCCACCGATGGAGCCCTGTCGTGATTTTGGGCGAGGAGCAGGGCGCATTTTCCAAGCAGCGGCTGATAATCGAAGGTAATGTTTTAAAGACGATTTATAGCACTATAGTCACCATTGTACTTACGAAAATAAAACAGACAAAAAAAACAAGTAGATGGGTTTGTTATTCGCAATTTGTTTGTCTTGTTTGTTTTCAAAAATGACTGCTTGTAACCAGTGCAAAATAATTGAACACTAACCAGACGAACTAACGACATTGACATCTGTCACGATATGCTCCCGCTGTAGGTCTACTCTCCACCAGGGGTCAACTTCAAGGGTCGTCATAGAGCAGGAGCCCATAGAGGGTATACTAGACATGTTCCCATCCACTGCCAGCCCTGGACCTACGCCAGGTATCAACACAGCGTTCCCTTTCTCGTCCTTAGCACCTTCAAGCTCATCCACGACCAGAAGGCTAGACTGAAGGGCAGGCTTGTTGAAAGCAACGTCTGCAACAGGAACAATGAATGCATGGCTTACCTGCATTTGTACTGATCTAACACAGCTGAAACTAAAAATATATTTAACAGTAACAAATCAAAGTATTAGTGACAAAGGCCCAGTGAAAACCGGCCCAGTATATCAAAGGTGACGCTGATCACTTGAGGGCTATAAAACGTTGTATTACCGAGGTGAAAACGAACATGGATTCCAGTTAAAAATTCTCTAAATTGCTTCTTCCTCTTTTTTCATTCTTCTTTGGGACTTCGTTTTGGTCATCTGTGTTGTTGTCTTAGTGTTTGTTTTTGTTCCTGTTTATAACTTTGGGCAGAAAAAACAACGTCATAGCAACAAGGTTATTCCTAGTGCAAATAAAATAACATTGCTTATGGCTGCTGGGGTCACAACAGAACACTTTCCTTGCCAGGTAAGTATGTAAAAGGAAATCATGATTTTCCAGCTGTGTTATAGCAGTAATAGCATCACCGTTCTACCCATATTTACGGCTTTGGGTATACTGACGGGTAATTTATATATTACCCTTATCCGTAAACGAAAACAGCGTATCTTACGAGTAACCAGTCTATTTGAAACTAGGCTTTCCAGGTAAAAAGGACCCATTCTGAGGTGAATTTGACGTCGAGAACTAATGTAAGATAAACGGCGCCCCGGACTTACCAGGAACAAACTTGTCACAAACTGAGAGGGCTCTTGGATCACCGTGCAGAACCCATTGCTGCTCGTCTTGTATGTTGTTGTTGTGCTTCAGTAACATCGCCTGGACTTCACCCATTCCTGTTTCACCGGCTGAAATTTTTTAACCGAAAAAAAATATTTTATTCAATTAAAATATTTCTCCGTTTTTGATTGGCTTGAATCTCCCCGCTAATTCTTCATAACAAGCTAGCATTGACCGAGTTTGGACGTTTGAGATATCCGGTTAAATAACGTCAACGGTACATTCTATCGCCAGAAAAAAGGGACGTCGACCGAGACTCAGTTGCGTTAGCTCAGTTTTTTGGTAGAGCTGACGAAAATGACAGAAAACTTCGTGCATTTTGCGAGGAAGAAATAGCCAAAATGCAAGCAACTCATGTGTGACAATTGCTGCAGTGAAGGATCCACCAGACCTTCAGGTAAGGAAGACTCGGTCGTCCAGACCCTGAGATGCCCCCCCCCCACCCCCGGTCTGGCCTCTTCCCTGGATCCGCCACTGAGCTATTTGAAGAATATTCGCTAGACTAAACGTCCCTTTATATCCTCAATTTACCGATGAACAGACAAATAAAGACGGCAACTTAACATCGGCCGTGGGAAGCATGTACCCTTTAAAGCATGAATAATTTTAAAAGAGTAATGAAACAACTATTGGATTCGGCTTTCGTATGATCTGAACAGTTATGCAAATCTCGGAGGGTGCTATCCACCTCTGCCAATAACAGCCTTCTCGATCTGCATTTTGCCTGATCCTGATGCAGGTGCTGGTTGTGATGCTGATGCTGATAATGACCATGATATCATTTGGTACATTTTGGTGGTTATGGAGGGAAATTTGCGAACTTAGTATTGAAGCCTAAAGAGCGAACAGCAATAATTGATATCTCATATCTCTTAGTAATGTTGAATTTGCAATATTTACCAGATGCTGTAACATATAACCCGGTGTTCTTTACAGGCGCTATCTTGTCTCCTTGGCAAGTAAACTTCTGTTCTTCGGAAGTAACATCGCAAACTTCCTGCGTCAATAGGTCTTGGTCTTGCTCTCTGCCCATTGCAACACAAAGACCCGAGTCTATATTCTGATAAATTTGAAGTCAAAATTAGTTAAGAAAATTGAGAATTCAATAGTGAGCTACATGGGGTACGAATCAAGGATTGAAAAATGAATATGTCTTGGAATTTTCGTTTGGCCGCTTGTGCTCAGATCTTGCGCCGCTTTACATCCGTTAAGGTGATTCCTTAGTAAAAGAACCTAACATAGATTGTAGATAAAACTTGGTACACTGATGTAACAAGTCAAGAGGATGATAAAAAAGTGATAAAAAGTGGGGGTCACCGTACTCGTTTTTACGTCACAATGCTGAGAAATACGGCTATTTAGGACCCTTTGACAAAAACCGCGCGCAGCCCAAAACTAGACAAAATGAGAGATTATTTCAATGATGCGTGTGGTATCGCCCAGAATCTGACTTTAATGTTTTTTTAACCACTTACGTACCAGAAAAATGCCTTTTAATGCCCTTGTTTTTACTTTACGCTCCAAGGTAGAAATCAATTGGACACGCGCTATTCGACCCGTGATGGCTCAATCCGTACAATTTAGTAAAATTGCCAAAAAACTGAACATATATTTATGCCAATTTTTTTCTCATCGAAAGAAAGCACTGTCCTTATTAAAATCATGAAATAAAAAATGGGGGTCACCGTACTCGTTTTTGAGGTAGAGCTGCAGAAAGTGCGCACCAAATGCATTTTCTCCGATTTTTGAGAGAGGATTGGGGCGAGTTTTAAAATAGAATGTACGTGAAAAGGGGAAGAAAGTATTAAAAACTCCGTTTTTACAGAATTTACATCGATATATCACATTTAGGACCCAATGTGATAAAGAAAGCGTTTAAATGAAAATCAAAGTGAGTAAGCACAAATTAAACATCCACTATCGAGGTTCTCCGTGAGGAACTCGAACTCAGCAACACGCGTACTTCTTACGTTATGCACATTCCCAACACATTGAGTCTCACCTCGGCAAGAAACAACCGCAAGCAAAACTTCCAAAGCGTTTCTCTTTAGTCAACTTCATTTTAATAATGTTACTTCACATGCTCTTATTTACGGCGGCCATCTTGTTATGCGCAGTAAGAGATGCGCAATGCAAAACCAGGGAATCACCTTAAGATCAAAGTTCGCAAAGGTTTTTATAAGTTCAACAAAACACGTAAACAGCTAACTGATTGTATGATTCATCTGCAGGGGCAATGGAGGGGATTAAAGATTTTTATACACACTGACAAAGCAGTTTATGATTTCTAAAATAGTATCTCAAGGGTGATCCAGAAGAGTTTGATATTAATATGCAGCTGACATAATATTTCGGCGATTAAACAAAAGGCCTTACCATAAGTGCTCCTGTCAATGTGAAAATCCATTCTGACACTTGTCCATCACATGACCCAAGTATAACAGGAGAACCAGCTTTCGAGCCAGGTGGGACACATAAACAATCTTTAGTGCTGTTCTGCTGAATTCTGAACTCACCTAAGCATGAGATTGGCACATAAGTTTGTATAAGAAATTTGACAAAATGAGCTACTCTGTGAAGTTGGAATTGATACGAATAGCATATGAGATATGAGTTTGCCTGATCTAGGAAACTTTCATTCTATTTGATCGGCCGAAAGTCATAGAGTTTGAAGTTAAACGTCAGGCGACAGTGAATTGATCAGCCAGTCAGCCAATTAGTCCACATAACCAGTCCCTTAGTCAGTCAGTCAGTCAGTCAGTCAGATTGACTTAATTACGTCAAGCCAGAACTCGATGCGACAGTCAATCGATTAGAAAGACAAACAGTTCAATAAAAACCCTGGATGCAAAAGTCTGGAGTCAGGCAGACAGATAGAACCAGATAAATCATTTAAAGACACTCAAAACATCATTAAGCGAGGTACACAGTTACACAGACCTGAAACTTCGTAGTCGGCTTCCTCGCTTGGCTTATCATAGATCGCCTTAGAGAACCGCGGTGAAAATAATTTCTTAAAAAATACGAGAGCCGTATCCGCCAATTTATGGATATTTTTTAGAGGATCCGCCAAGTTAAAATCCAACTTAAACTGGCCTCTGGAGCCAAATACAGTAATATCCGCTCCAAGAACCACCGAGGAGTCTATAGGTGAGGCCGTAATGTGGGTCTCGAATGACAACTTGTGAATTATTAGGATATTTTTGGCTGCAGCTAACACTGCTCTCTCGGCCCAGTAAGTGCTCTTTTCTAGTAGGTAAAGGCTGTGGTGGGCCAAGTCTAGAGTCTTGCACATTCCCTTAGTGATGTGACCGACCACGTTACAGGAACCTAAGAGAAAATTAACCAAGAGACGTTCAGGTGAGATGCTGATGACGTTTAACTACATAAAACAAGGGAACGCTCAGTTTAGCTATTAATGACGTTTGTTTAATGGCAGTAGGTTTTTTTACTGGCGCAAGAAATAACAGGACAAGCGAGGGAGAAACGCGAGGGGAGAGGGAACTATCACTCTTTTTCGTGTCTTCCTTCGCGTGCTCCCTTCTTTCTTGCACCCAGTTTACTCTCAAACGCCTGCTACGCTACGCTACGCAGGTGCTAAACTGAAAAAAACATTCAACATTTCGTGACTGTCACCGCTGGTTTTTCCTTCAAATAACGTCTGAGCAACGAACGCAGAATAATATATTTTGTAACGTTTTGTTAGTTTCACAAGAGTATGTATATTAGGTTGCATAATACTGCTGAAGTATTTAAGGCGTGCTTGTAAGGTGTCCCAAGGGGCTAGAACACTATTTAAGGTTTGTTAAGTTATGCAAGAGCCATTCGAGGCATCTTTTTCAACCCTAGTTTTTTATGCCATGTCGGGTTCTGAAACAGCGAGCGTCCCTCAAGCGTCTTTGGAAACTAACAACACCGGAGACTCTGCTCAACCGAGTGCTCTTTCCTCGGATACGTCCTTATCAAACGCTGAAACTTCGCAGTTATTTTCCCAACTTTTGGACGTCAAATTTGATCAAAAGTTCGCTGCCTTTAAGCGCGATCTCGAGGACAAAGAAGCTGCCACACAATCGCAGCTTAAGAAGCTGAAAACCGAATCGAAACCATCAAATTCCTTTACTTTCAAGGGCAACAAGGTACAGTACGAACTTAACATCTCTTTGCACGACTTAGTGGACGGTGCCATTAAGAACGTCTCAAAAGGGAACCTTTCAGCAGCGATTTCCGAACTTGAATCGGTAAAGACACTTATTACAAAACGAAACAAGCTTATTCGCTTTGCGGATAAGAGTCCTGCGGGCTGGACAGCCGTTGAAGAGTACGAATCAGATGAGTTGGCGGAGGATTCTGAGGATGAAAAGAGGCTTCGTTCAGCAGAAAGACGGGCATTGGCCAAGATCCGCGAGAAGAAGCGTAGGAATTCGTCTGCCCGACCTAGCTATACAAGTACTCGTCAGCCATCGAGTGAAGCTTCTTCTGTTCGTTCTTCCAATACTCTTCCTGTTAATCAGCAGCTTTTTCGTGGGCAGTCCTTTCGCGAGCGTCGACCTCAACCTTCGGACAAGTGCTTCAGTTGCGGACAGAGAGGTCATTGGGCAAATTCAACTTCCTGCCCCAGCCGCCTTAGAGGAACCGTTGCAGTCCCTTCAAGTAGCAAGGCCGCAAACTGACGACAAACGCAATGTTGCATTACAGAGATTAGGGAAAGATGGGTATAATTTACTAAATTTGGTTACATGTTTAAATGACTTTGATCCAGTGGAACTTGTCGAGAACTCTGTTGATGCGTCTGATTTATCTAGTGATGTAATAAGTCCCGAATATCAGGAGGGAGTTCCTATCGTTAAAGTTAAAGGTAGTCTTAAGCGCAATGTAGCTTTTTGGGAGCATATAGGTGCTTCTCGTTTCATTCGCGATACCATTGTATATGGGTATAAGATCCCCTTTATTTACACTCCACCCGCAGCTAGCTTTGGCAATAATCGATCTGCCCTTCAGCATAGTGAATTTGTGGAACAAGCTATTTCTGATCTTCTTATAGCAGGCTCAGTGGTTGAATGTGGGTGTGCCCCTACTGTGGTTAACCCCCTATCCGTTTCCATTCAGGCTAATGGTAAGAAAAGGCTCATATTAGACTTACGTTATCCGAATCAATTTGTTAAGAAATCCAAGATTAAATTCGAGGACGCGAAAACCATGCTTTATTCCTTTATCGATTGTTCTCAGAATTGGCTTTTTTCCTTTGATATCAAATCTGGTTATCATCATATTGACATTTTTCCCGCAGACCAAGAGTTTTTAGGCTTTTCCTGGTGTAAGGATGGGGTTATTCGATTTTATAAATTTACTGTTTTGCCATTCGGTATTTCTACCGGGCCGTATATTTTCACAAAAGTTCTGAGGCCCTTAATACGTTATTGGCGTCTCCAGGCAATTAGAATTGTTGTATATTTGGATGATGGCCTAGGCGTATGTCCTACATTTCCTGACTGTTATTCCCAGTCTATGGCCGTGAAATCAGATTTGTCCCAAGCGGGCTTTGTAGCTAATAGTGTTAAAAGCATATGGGTTCCAGTTCAGTCTCTCAGATGGTTGGGCTATCAATGGGATTTAAAGCTTAATTTGTTATCTATTCCTGTGGAAAAAATCAACAGGCTACTAGCGAGTATTGACATTGTGCTCCTTCAAAGTAGATTACCAGCCAGGCAATTGGCCTCTGTCACCGGAAGTATTATTTCTAATATGCTTGTTTTTGGCAATGTGTGCAAGCTGATGACCAAAAGCCTACACAGGGCTCTCGATCGCAGGCATGGGTGGGATTCCTGTGTTGAATTAGACCCATGCGCTCGCAAAGAGTTAGAGTTTTGGAAGAATAACGTTTCTAACCTGAATTCTAGGTCGTTTCTCAATACTGTTCGTAAGCCATCTCGCATCGTCTATTCAGATGCCAGTGCTACTGGCTGTGCTGCCTTTATTGCAATTGATGATACGCCTGTCTCGCATATTAACTGGGATTCATTACAGATGAGCCAGAGCTCTACCTGGAGAGAACTTCACTGCGTCAGTTTTGCTCTGAAAAGTTTTGCACACCTTCTCTCAGGCTGCGATGTTAAGTGGTTTACTGACAACCAAGCAGTTCCTTCGATTGTTCATTCTGGTAGTATGAAGGAGCATTTGCATATCTTGGCGCTCGACATATTTCAGACCGCCAAAGATAATAAGATTGACATTGAGGTTGAGTGGATACCTCGTACTCAGAATGAGAGAGCAGATTATTTGAGTAAGATTGTTGATTATGATGACTGGACAGTCAAAGATTGCTATTTTCATGCTGTTACCTCTGCTTGGGGCCCCTGCTCAGTAGACTGTTTTGCTAGCTACAAAAATCGCAAGGTTCCCAGGTTCTATTCCAAATACTTTAATCCAGATTCCTTGGGTGTCGATTCGCTCGCCTTTAGTTGGGTCGGCGAAACATGTTGGCTTGTGCCACCTATTTCGTTAGTTAAGAAGGTCGTCCTTCATGTCTGTTTGTGTCGTTGTCGGGGAATTTTGGTAGTTCCTTATTGGCCGTCAGCCCATTACTGGCCCCTTTTGGTGGAACGCGGGGGTGTTTTCAAGTCATTTGTTGCAGATTGTCTCTACGTTGAGAATGGTAAGGATGTTTTTCTCCATGGGGGGAACAAGAGTTCCCTTTTTGGATCAGAGAATTTTAGTACCCCAGTGCCTTTTCTGTTGCTCGACGGGGCTGTACCGGAATCTGTATAGATTGCTGTGGAGTTGTACGCCGCTTGGCCGCTAGGCCGCTGGGCCGCTGGACCACTAGGCCACTGGGCCAGTTTACGACGAACGCACTAGTTTTTGCCAGTACATGAAGATTGTCCGTTTTTACGCCACTGGCTGTCTGTGTGTGACCCATTTTGGCTGGTTGACTTTTTTCTCTTTGAGGCTTCTTGTTTTCACTTAACTTGCTCAATCGTTTGCTCATAATTATTTTTCTTTCTTATTATGTTTATGTTTCTACAAGGTAGACGTGCGTTTGCTTTGAAGATTGCTCATCTAAAGGATCCAGAGCTTCGTAAGTTAGCTGCCGATCTTCCCTTGCGTACCATTGAAGCGAAGGCTCCTTCGACGACGGACCGTTACTCAAGAGCTTTTCAGAAATTCAGGGAATGGTCTTCACCTTATAACGAGGTCGTTTGCCTGCCATCGGACGAGATATCAGTTGCTCTTTACTTAGAGTCCCTGATTCAGGGTGGTTCCCCTTATTCTTCCCTTGAGTCTGCTTGCTATGGTATTAATTGGGCGCATAATTTGTATGGTTTTCAAAGTCCTTGCGATTCCAAATTGGTTAAGAACGTGCTCGAGGCAGCTAAAAGAGGTCTTGCGAAACCTGTTTCTAAAAAAGAACCCGTTACCCCCGCTATGATTTTAGATATTTGTAATAGGTTTGCCGGTCCTAATGCTAATCTTTCTGATCTTCGTTTAGCAACCATTTGCGTAACCGCGTATACCGCTTTTCTCCGCTATAATGAGTTAGCTAGCCTACGCTGTTGCGATGTTAGTTTTTGCGATTCTTTTGTCAAGATTTACGTTTACAAAAGTAAAACGGATGTTTATAGGGATGCTGCCTACGTCTTGTTGGCAAAAACAGGGTACGTTTCTTGCCCCTTCAATCTGCTTCGCAGATATGTTTCGGCTGCTAATTTAGATTTGTCGTCTTCGTTACCCTTTTTTCGCTCTTTGTATTTTCATAAGGCAACCTCTACTTATAGTTTGCGTAGTACGGGTATGAGTTACTCTAGAACGAGAGAAATAGTTTTACAAGCGTTTGTTGAAGTAGGTTATCCGAAGAATTTATTTGGTTTACATAGTTTAAGGGCGGGAGGTGCTTCCGCGGCCGCTAACGCAGGCGTTAGCGATCGGCTTTTTAAGCGTCATGGAAGGTGGAAAACGGATCAAGCTAAAGACGGTTATATTAAGGACAAACTAGATTCTCTTCTCTCAGTGTCTAAAAGTTTACATATTTAGTTTGCCATTTCTCTTTCTTTTTTTTTCGAACGCGGGCATCAATAAACGAGATGCCCGCTCCTATTCTGTGTTTTGTGATTATTTAGATTAGTTACAAAATATTTTATAATCGTTTCAGTGTGATTAGAATATAAATATATTTTGTAACGTTTTGTTAGTTTCACAAGAGTATGTATATTAGGTTGCATAATACTGCTGAAGTATTTAAGGCGTGCTTGTAAGGTGTCCCAAGGGGCTAGTACACTATTTAAGGTTTGTTAAGTTATGCAAGAGCCATTCGAGGCATCTTTTTCAACCCTAGTTTTTTATTTTATTTACTGTTGTAATTTTCTCTGAGTTTGTAAAACTAATCATGAAATGCTGTTTTTGTAACGCTTTACGCTCGCTTGATCAATAAACGAGATGCCCGCTCCTATTCTGTGTTTTGTGATTATTTAGATTAGTTACAAAATATTTTATAATCGTTTCAGTGTGATTAGAATATAATTAATACTCTCTCTGCGCGGCGGAGGCACTGATGGGGATTCCCAGTGGTGCCAACAGTCGACCTCCATGCGCTTCCAAGCTTTGCGGTCCTGTGCCAAAATACGAATTTGGTGAGGTATGGGGAGATTTTCTGGATTGATTAGCTTTAGCAGCATATTCGTGGAATAGAATTTTACTTCCATCAGGTCTTGTTTTACCATGTATCGGGTGGTACAAAACGTAAGATCTTGATAGTGATTGGATAAAGCAAGGTTCCAACTTTCAACCAATCAGAAGAACTACCCAGATACTGGAAAACACGCGTCTTCAGTATTTAAATAGGGACTTTAAAATCCGACGACGCAATGGCAAGGTTTAGAAGGCAAAACAACAACACTTTTTTTGTACATTTTTTTGCACGACTACGAAGAGAAGTTGCCTAATTTTACATTTTATGGAGGACGTAAACTAGGCACGACGAAATTTTATTTCTCTTTTCTGAACTTGATCCTAGGAATTCAACTCCAGGAAAGTTCGCCTACTTTTTATGAAGTAAATGGGTGGGAGTAATCGTGATAAAGACTGGAAGGACGTAAATTATCTTTTTTTAAGCGACGTTTTCCCTGCAATCCGCAGTAGTCGTGTCGTAAAGTCCTATTCTCAGACGTCATTTCGCCGGGAAACCAGCAGTGGCATCGCGAAATTTTGGCTGTGTTCTCAGGTTACGCAGATGCTAACAAAAGCGCATAACCTCTGCTGATTTTACAACAACTTGCAACGTAGCAAACGATGACTCACAAACAAACCCAGATTTACATAAAAAATGGTGTCACTCTCGATCATTCAGTTTTTTTTAAGTCCCATGTCTGACTAATTACTATCTAACTGTATTTTAAACGTGGAGTCAATGGGGTATAGATGAGTGGAGCAGACCTTACCTTTACACAAGTCAGCAGTTATTGTACAAGCCTTCTCTGCCAGTTTCTCGCACAATAGTTTACCAACAAACCTCTTGCGTCTAACCGTCCGTAATGAAGAGCCGTTTCTATGATGATGGCTGCCGCAACTACTTTTAAAGTTGGAGTACTTGTTACCATGGTGACAGTTCATTCCAGTTACCAACAGATCCATGTAGCGTTTGGTTCTTTGCTTTGTAAAGCCTGTTTTGAATTTATCTCCAATACTTCGTATTTTTCTTCCTACAATAGAATGCAGTATATAATCATAGTATTACAGGTATAGAATGAAAGAAGTTGGTAGTCGCGGATTAACCAATCCCCCAACCCCCACCCACTCTCTTCACTGAAGATACACTGGGCAATTCTATTAATTCACCAAATAATAGAACAATATTGGTGCTTTTCTGACTGTAAAGAAGAACTACATGAAGAAACTAAGATAACGACAATTTTGGAGGCATGACGTAATTTGTACCTGCTGTTACGTCACCATGCATATTATGTCCTTAACAATGTCGCGGAAGGCCTAAAGACCAACTGAATATAAAACTTTTCGGCGATGTAAATTAATGCTTCTTTGGCTTGTTGGAGTCAATGGTGGGATGTTCATATGCCTTAGTTTGGCAAAACTCTTGATCTCTATTTTCCAAAGACCTTGAAAGCTGCACTTACCAAACTTGTCCACTTTTTTACCGATGAAATGTTTAAAATCATCCATGGCACGTTTACATTCCTCTGAGATTTGTTCACAGGCAATTTTCTCACAGATATCGCAAACGTTATTAGCGTTCCTTTCACAGGCTACCTTAGCGTCTTTTACTGTGGCCCTTGCTCTTTCCAAAGCTTTTCTTGCTGCTTGAAGGCCATTAATGAGCAGCTGCGCGGTCTTGTTTGATAGTTCTTCAAAGCCAGTTTCGATGATAAACTTGGCTTGGAATCCTGTCTCGGCAAACGGGTTTCCGTAGCCTGCTGAGATCCATACTTGTGCTTTAAAAACGTTGAACAGGTTGAGATTTAGATCGGTTTCTATACGTTCGTTTGTCAGCTTGAAGCTGATTCCAGTCTCAAACCCAAAGATGTTTGCAGCTCCTTGGATGAATATCTAGCAACAAAGGTAATTAGATTTAAAGGCGTGGTTTCAGGGACCGGGACCCATTTCTCAAAAGTCCCGTGTTGCTGTTTACATTCAAGATAGCGGTTTCAATAGTTTTCAAGATAACATGATGAAACTATCAATTAACAAAACAAAATGGATGGGTTCGTTTGCTAGAACCAACGCTTATGGTCTTTAGATTTTGATTTGAATATTTGATTACCGAGACTTTTGAGAAACGGTGCCCTGGAAGTGTATTCTAGGAATCCGGGATTTCACCGAAATCTAGTGCGGAAATCGGGAAAACGCAACATTTCTTGACGGTGTACGGGATTCGACCGCTAGCCGGGAAGCAGGATTCGCCAAAATCGGTATTTGGAAGGGAAACGGTATTTGGGATAGCTATAATTAGAGAAGTTCGGGAAGCGCAATTGTCGTGAAAAGGAGCGCGAATACAGGATCAGGACGGCCCCATTCCAGACTCCATAGTTTAATTGCCTTTCCTTAATATCTTTTCCCCTGCAATATAGATAAACGGCTTTATTTATTCTAGGGGCAGTCAAAGAAATCGTTATCGTCCAATGCGCATCAAACGTTAGATTATTTAATTAAGCGATTGGATCTAAAGACGTCTCCTCGACTCACTTCAGACGTCTAAGTCTTCTACTATCGTTAAAGCCATGTAATATAAAGATGAAAGGCAAAATATGTTGCACTTCACTGCCAGACGTTCACTGGGGTTAAGACATCCCCAAAGTATATTAAGTTTTAGCAAGCCAAAGTTTTCTTACTTCCGCTTCAAGAGGGTTTCTTTTGGCATGAAGGTAAAACTTGGGACCCTTTTTCTTGTCCGTCAATGAACGAAACACTTCTACACCTCCCAGTAGCTTGACAGGGTCTAGCTCCAGATCAAAGTGTATTTTCTGGAAGATCATAAAAAAGGAATCAATAGGTAAGTGCATGAGAAAGTCAATGAATGCTTTTGACAGTACTTCCAGTAAACTAGCCTTCCTCGAAGGCGGCTATATTTATGGATATGATAGGTAAGAAATTTCCACCCTCACTAGTCCCATGCCCAGTTCGTGCTGTCTATGTCCTTAAGTGCTCAGCCTAAAGCATCCTGCAAAAGAGGCTATGTATATATGCATGAAACCGCAAATATTTGTAAAACATAATATTATCCCGTTGAGACTATAGTACACGTATGGCCTTTCTCTCCACACTGTCTCACCATAGTTCGGTAGAAGGAAAGTGTGGCCGGTATTTTTCAGGTCATATCTGTAGTGTCATGTAAGTTTGCGTCGTAAGATAACGACCTTAAGTTTGCGTCGTAAGATAACGACCTTACCTTTACAATATAGATTCTAATTCTTCGGGTAATCAAGCTATTTCTTCGTCCAAGCTCACTACTCGAAATGGTGATAGTTGTTACCTCTATCCCGACAAAATGTCCTCTTTTCACTTTTTTTGCTTGAGCAAAAATAACAATTCACTAAAAAGAAAATCTCGATTCTATCCTTCTCAGCAGGGTTTTACACACTGTTTACACACGAGTTAACGTACTATTTAATGACAACTAAAGAAATCCGGGAAAACAATCATTGATATCAAAATGGACGCAACTGAAGGCTTAATATCTTGTATTTCCTCCACTTTTATTCCTATTTATTAATTTTTTTTTACACTTTGTCATGACATCGTGCATTCTGTCAGCCGGTCCTACCTCGTCACTCAGTAGAATTTCCACTGAAGGTGCAAATCCTAGGATGTTGATGGTGCCCTTAATATACACGCCTTTCTTGATGTCTTTTGTTGCACCAGCATAAGGGACTTTTTGATTGGCCCAAGACGCAGAAATCTGTTGATAGCAAAAATGACATGTGGAGCATGTAATCGAGCTTACTGACGGCAAAAAACATATATTGGATATATTTTTCTGAATTCCTTATCTATAATGCATGCTAACTACATTTTTCTTTTAGCTGAACTTCTTTACTGCTTCTAGACTTATAAGAGAAAAAAAAAGCGCATTTAGGGATGTAGCTGTCCGGGGAAAAACCTTTTTGCATGGTGATATTTTCATATACTTACAGTCAGTCCTTTCGGAAATCCACTCTGCTCCACAGCTGGTGGTAACTGAAGTTTAGAGCCGAGCATTCGCAATATTTTTCCTATCGTGACTGGTGAAAGCTCGCCATAGACATACTGCTTAGCAGGATTAGCGCTTATTCCTACTAAGGCTTCTCCAGCAAAACAACGACCCTCAACTTTAAAGTCGTCCGCCCCACAGTCGTGTCCAATCTCTAAGCGGCCGTTAAACGTGAATTCAGTGGGAACACCAGCAGCTAATGTTACTGTGAACCTAAGAAATGGAGAAGTATATAAGTTTCGCACTCTAAGGCCTGCGCGTTCTCAGTTAATTTATATATGCGTCCCAAGTCAATTTTGGATTTGATTGCTACGCTGTGAGACTGGCTATTAAAATCTCCCACTGTGTTCTAATAATGAGAAGTTAGAAAATCAAAATTTCCTAAACAAAACACGTTACGATTATTTTCGCAGGCGCTTTTAATTTTTCTGCGCTAATAAGTGATTTGTGAATTTAGTAAATTTGTGTTAGGACAATCACCTTATTTCAAAATAGTGACAAATTTAGTATGTATTTTGCCTAGTAATGATGATTGAACCTCGATACCACCTTTCAACAAAAAATCTCTTTTGCCCGCCTTGATGAGTCATTTGGCAGAGACGAAACATACTTATGTCAGGCTTAGTAGTATTTTATAATCATGGGCTATAGGAAACATGAGTTTCGACTAAGTAAAGCTAAGGCTAAATGTTTGTGCCATAAAGTTAAATTATGATTGTACTAGTCTTTTGTCATTTCTGGTCAATTCTGCCCGTGTCTTTCTTTAATTGTAGAAACGCCTGGAAACACGCATTGTTTTGATTCCGAACTCGAAAATAACCTTTCTTTAGTCGAAACCCATGATTCCTATAGCCCATGATATAATCAGGCAGTCTATCCTTTTACAACCACAAACCTGCATGAGGTTTTCGTATGTCTTCTGAAGTGTGGGAGGGATGGCATTTAAAAGTTTTATGGAATAAACAAAAACAGCGATAGTCAGGTCCTCACCCAATTTGTATGTTTCCAATACTAAGATATTTTAAACCAAATGCCTTTTTCCACATTCCATTCATATATAATGTTGTGCCTATCTCAGCTCCGCCAGTAACGAATAGTTTGCCTCCAAGCTGCAGAGACGTGCTTGGAACTTCCTCCTCTTTTTCATTCACCTCTCCTTTAACAGGTACGTCTAACTCCACCGCGAACCCGAGATTAGGAACTGCAGAAGCACTGCCATATTTAACCTGCATGAATAAAACTATAGCTATAACAGCAAATATTTTTGTTACCTACCACCGGACAACGTCTCATTGATCTACGTTACGTTGATTTCTATGTGACGAACGACAGGCATTTTAGAGAATGACAATGACGGTGATGCATGGTGACGACGGTGACGCTGTTGCATGCTTTCTTTAATTTTGTTTTTAACTCGTTATGGTCCTATAAAAGTTCATTTTTGAATATGAAAAGGAAAACAGAAAGTGGAAACGGAAAGCTACTGACCTTTTTAATTTAAATTCAGAGACACTAAACAATTTGTGGATGAGGTTTTTGTGATATCCGTTATAATCAAGGTCGAGGTAAGTGTTATCATCCGAGCCGAAGGCCGTGGTTGATAAAACCTACCGAGACCTTGATTATTTAGGATATCACAAAAACCGAATCTAATAGTTGTTTTATTATAAACTGTTTTGAAGGAAATAACGACAAACACACGCTGGCAAGGAACCTGAATTGATATTGTTATAGGAAATCATGCATTGCGCGCGCAAAACCTACAGATTAGTCAGCTATCTGCTAGCAAACAACTAACTAATCTGAAGCGTCTGTAGACTAGGTTGCGCTGATTTCCAAAATTAGTTGTAGGCTCTTAGCCAATGAGAAGACAGCTAGTGAGTACAATGTATAATAATGTCATTTAAAGCCTGTAGTAGAACCTGTAAGTAGTTAGGGTCCTCTTTCCAGTTTTTATTTTATTTTAAGAATTGCTTAATAAATATCGCCTTCATCATTGTTATGGGTCCACTACATTAGGAACGTTGTTACCTCCAAGAACAGTTCAACTTTGTTAAACTTTAAATCTCCTTTTATAGGAATGCCATAAACTCCTGCTGCCACTTTGACACCGGCCGTGTTAATTCCACCATGAAATTTCAACCACGAATTCTTCCCCATAAGAATCTTTCCAAACTTGCAAACGGTTTCATTCCCACAATTCGCCGCGAACTTGGTCTGCGCTGCAAAGAACAGACCATCCGGCACCTCCTTTTTCATCAGCGATTGTAAAGGCTCCTTCGTGAATTTTGTCTGGGGAGTAACCTTAAACCCTTTTTGTGCGAAAGAAATTCCAAACTGAAAGAAAGAACAAGCAAAACATTTTCTACCAGTTCGGAGTAATGGATGGATCCGCAAGTTAAGACCTTCCCTATGTAAATCCTCCCCCTCATCCGTTTTCTTCTCCTTTTCTCTCCAGCTTTGATTTTAATTTTTCAAATACCGCGATTAATCAATTTCAATGTCAATTTGGAAAGGACAATTTCAACCTAAACACGGCACTTTTGTTCATGATTTCATTATTTTTAATGAACATTTTTGTTACTTCTATAACCAATTTCATGTCGCATTACAAAGAAGTGATGTTTATTAGCCAAGCGGTCGGAGAAGATGGCGGTATATTACTTGAATTTTTATGGAGAGAGACAAAGTCCAGGCTAATGAAAACGCAGAAATACGAAAGAGGCAAATATCCAGATATCTTGACCGAAAAAGCTTGGTCAATAAAGGATTTGTTATATGGCTGAAAACATAAATTTTCTTGCAGGACCAACGCGGGAAATTCTAATCTGGCGAGCTGGCTACATCTTGCTTTCTTGGGTAGTCAATCAGAACATGGAATATACTTCATCTTTCCCTCACGCGGATTCCGCCATATTATAATTGCAGCTAAAAATATCGAAATGCAGAAATGACTCACCGTGGTTTGTTCCAAAGCATTAAACAAGCCTAGTTTTGTGTTAAACATCTTTTGAGTAAAGTCCTCAAACCCAGCTTGTTCCGCAGTAAAAGCCACAGCAAAAATGCTTTTGCGCACAATCTCAAAATTAAACCATCCACCGATTTTTTTGGGCGCTGCTTTTCCACTCACTCGGAAAATCACGTCTTTCATGTCGGCGTTAATGCTCAAGGAAAGGTCTGATATCGTAACTAGACCGAGTCCCAAGCGCTTTAGCAAATCCAAAACCTTTTGATCCACTTTCCTCATCACTGAGTCACTCCTTTGCGGATTGACCGTCCCCCCGTAGAGTGTCCTGGTAATCATAACACTAGGGTTTCTGTTCCCACTTGTGACATCAGCATCCAAGATTATATCACTGTCACTTTGTACGGGATTAAATGATGTGAAAGGTATCATGTTGCGCTGGTATATTCTCGTTGGTCCATATCGTGGCTTCCTGTTCGCACTGATTGTTCTTGGCATAACAGATTTATGGACCTTTCCACCACGATGGATCATTTCTCCTTTAATTCTTTGGAGCGTTGGCGTTTTGTCACGTTTTGTCACAGACATTTCATGGGAAGTAAACCTAGAATCTATGTGTCTCGCTACACGAATGTAGTAGTCATCTGAATGCGGCGATAAGGCGGCCTCAATTTCCTCTAAACGAAAACAAATTTAAAATTAAAAAAAGAGAAATTGTAAGGACGGTGTACGGTATACACTCTTTTTTGCTATAAGAATATATTTTATAACAATATCGAGGCTGAAATGTTCGAAATTTTAAGAATATTTTAAGAATAGACCCGAGGCTGAGATTTTGAAAAGGGTTTAATTTTGTGTGTTGAAAATCTGTTAATAAAGAACAATTATATCTTTTTAACTTAATTGATAAAATTTTTCCTTTCTCTGAACGGCAAAACTGGCCAACAAACGAAAAAGTAGCACTTACTAAATCCAAATGTTCAATGTTAATAACAGTTCTCAGCTGAGGTCAGTAAACAGTACATGAAATAGTGATGTCTGAAAATAATACGTCAAAAATAAACTCAGCCTAAAACGTCGGCAAGTAAGAATATTCAGCCTGGGACGGCAAAACAAGATTCTTATGTATACAAAAGAAGAGTGTGATGGTTTTTATGACTAGTAAAAGTATGGGAAAAGGTAATGACGTCTTGGAAACAGTAAATATATGGGATTGGCTTATGGTTGCCTATGGAAACAACCATCCTGCCTGAAATAAATTTGTAATTAAAACAATCCCAGAGTTGCTAGAACCGAAAAAATGGTGTCCAGTCCCCCTTGCTACCTGTACCCCTAAATTGATGTTAGGTAGCCTAATTGAGTATCTACGACGACGAGAGAAAAGATAATGACATCTCGGAAACAGTGAATTCAGGGAAGGAAGGAAGAAAGCAAAGAAGAAAGGGAGGACGGAAGCAAGGAAGGAAGGACGGAAGGGAGAAAAGGAGGAAAAACGAAAGGAGGAAGGAAGAAAGGAGGGAAGAACAGCGAAGTCAGGGAGCAAGGAAGTAAGGAAGGAAGGAAGCAAAGAAGAAAGGGAGGACGGAAGCAAGGAGGGAAGGAAGGAAGGAAGGGTGGAAGGAAGGAAGGAAAGAAGGAAGGAAAGAAGGAAGAAAGGAGGGAAGGAAGCAAAGAAGAAAGGAAGGAAGCACGCAAGGAAGGACGGAAGGATGGAAGGATGGAAGGAGGGAAAGAAGGAAGAAAGGAGGAAAGGAAGCAAAGAAGAAAGGAATTAAGGGGGCAGGGAAGCAAGGAAGGACGGACAGAAGGAAGGAAGTAAGGAAAGAAGGAAGGAAGAAGAAAGGAAAGAAGGAAAGAAGGAAAGAAGGAAGGGAGAAATGAAGGAAGGAAGCAGTGAAGGAAGGAACGAACGAAGAAAGGGAAGAAGAAAGCAAACAAAGAATAGAGGCAAGCAAGCAAGAAAGGAAGGGAGGGAGAGCTGCTGTCACTTAAATCTCATTTGCCATAATTTGCGGGAAAAAAAAGAAAAACCTCTACGCTGCTGTCACCAAATATTAAATGAAAATAATAAGGTACTGCGTTCTAGAATCTTGAAATTTTCTGAGTGGCTTTCGCTACCTGTGAAGGTATGTTTATCAATAAACACTTTCGCTGTCACTCAATAAAATATACCAATTTGATTTATATTTTATTCTATTTATAGTGACTGTTCACGTTACTACCTGAGGACACTACGTGACTGCTCGTGCCTTCGATGGCTACCTCGCCTCCCTCGCCAGCCGAGACTGCATACACTGCAAACAGCACATTGCCGATTTTGTTAAAACCATGCGCCACAATGCGTTCATTGCCTGGTGACACTTGATATAGAAACATCGCTTTTTCAATTGAGACTGTGTCTGTTGGGGCGTAGGTAGATGCTGACCCAAGAAGAAATTCAACTAAAAACGATGAGAAACAGAGACTTCATTAAGATACATAGTAGGATTTAAACAATTTAGATTTTGAAAAACGTTTGGATTTGGACAAAGGCTGTGTCAATTGTCCCTAATACGCTTTGATTGTGAAAGGTTGGTTTCCCAGGTTATCAGCTGGGGTTTCTAAATAAATTTCAAAGCTTCCACCTGACTCTCTGTAGGGTCGACCTGAATGCTACTCACTTATTTCAGGCGAAAGAGAAAATTTTCAGACCCTCCAGGGAAACTCGTGAACATGTAGGAATCTCAATTTGCCGTCGGTATGGCCTACAAGTACTTGTGGTGGAATATTAATTGAGTAGGTCATCTTGTCCATGGCCGCGATATGATAATTACGACGACATGAAGACTATAATGATGATGATGATGATTAAGCATGATGATGCTATGATGAGTTTCTAGGCAACGGATAAACTCATGCTTAACTAGACCATTTAAGAGCAATAACATACTCAAATATAGTGGAAACAATCTTTTGAGTTATCAAAATCTCAAGGCGGGACACGCAGGAAATTTCTGATCAATATCACCTAAATGCTTTGAAGAGAAGGTAAGCGAGAAATGTCATAAAGTTAATCTCTTTCCCCAGGCCTAGGGACTTTTACTTGGTGGTAAATTATTTCTTCTAGCAGACTTACCCCCATTCAAGGTTTTATCTTTCCTTAAATTGACTTTCACTCCTTTCACGTGTTCGTTGTCGCCGGGAACAGTAAAGAAAGGCATGCTCTTGGCCGATCGAAAACTGGGATAAAGCTGAGCAAGCTGTGCCATGGTCGGCATATTTTTAGGTTCAAAACATAACTCATCCAGGTCCTTGGAATCACTTTTAATCGCGAAGTAGCCACCCATCAAGTTAGGAACGAGTTTAGGAACATTAACGAATACAGCTGCGACTAGTTCGTTGTTGAGTGAATCGCTGATCAGCTCAGCTTGAGTTGAGTTGCACATGAGACTTATAAATGAGTATGGATCAACGACTTTTGTAGGGTCCAAGTTTTCTGGGATTTCTGAAAGAAAAGGAAAATTTCCTGAGAAAAAGACAATAAAGCTGATCCTGCGTGTAATGTCAGTTAGCTGCAACCAGGAGTGTGTGAATTTGTTGCAAGTGCCAGATGACATAGTTATAAAACGTATTAAAATGAAAACAAACAAAAAAATTATTCTAAACCACACCGTGTATATCTGCACGGAGGCTTTTTAGAACCCTGAAGCTGGTAAAATAGACCATTTCTTGATACGTACGTAGGAAAATTTCAAATATTGAGAGAAAAAATGCGTACCTTTGCAATTTGTTTTTGGACATTCCTGGCTTTCGGACCCAGTCCCTGGGCAAAGTTCTCCACCGTCTTGAGGGGCGGGACTGTCACACAAACGAGTGCGAATTTGGGCTCCTCTGTTGCAGAATTCTGTTTCGGAGCATGCGCTCCAGGGACCCCACTGACCCCAAGCTCCATTTACTACATCTGTAAGCGAAGATGTATCACGATTTTAGTATAAGAACTCCTTACGTCGATGTCATCCAAACTTATTCTAAGGACTGCTTAATGGAAAAATGAAAGTAGGTGTTTAACTCTGTAAACCGTTCACAAATACCAGGAGCCCATAACTCGTAGCGAGAAACTTCCATGTACTCGTGTCACGGCGTTTTCACTAACCAGTTTATTATTTTTTTTAACGATTTTTGGCGCGAATTTAGAATATCTTACAGGTCCCACAAACCAGTGAGAAAACCAAAACCCTGAAAATGGTATTTTTGACCTTTTAACCACATCTTTTATCTATAATGTACTCATGAACGGAGAGGAGCTTCCAGTTTCGTGAGAAAAAGTGCTCTAAAATGTATGGAAAAATAAAAAAAACACTTGTGAAGGGTCAGCCGCCTCTTTAGTAGACCTGGATCAGTAAAATTTTAAAATTAGAGCAGTAAACTGATCCTTACAGCAGGAAGAGTGATAGGAAAGAAAATAATTATTATATATTATAATGATATTATTATAGAATTCACCATTTTGTTTTTGTTTTCTTTTTAATTTTTCCTCTTCCTGCCGTAAGGATCAGTTTACTGCTCTAATTTTAAAGTATGGAATCTAAAATTGAAAACCCCGTGACAGGCCTATAGGCCTTAACCTGAGATCAGGCCCAATTTGAGCGGTTCTCATACATTCTCTCTAACGGCTACCAGCTAAAATTGGGCCTGATCCAAACTCATTCACGTTTGTGCTCGTTACGGCCAGATTTTGGCCGTAACGCTGATTGGCTGTTAGAACAATGCCACAAGGTCTGATTGGCTGTCGGAAACGCCGAAAGTTGAAAGCGCTTATTCCTCGCCAGGTTGTTTTCGTGAATGATCCGTCGTCGGCGGAGAGAAGGATCGATTTTGCTGTCTTTTTTATTGTTTTATGGTGTTATGGTAGGAAAATATGCCTTAATATGTGCCATGGAAATTCAGAAAATTCATATGGTTGTTCATATCTTCTCAGGATTTGCTTTATTTACGGAAAGTGAGTGTATCGCGGAGTTGAATCCCTCTGCAAGTTGTTGATTTACCAGCAAACGGGTGCAAATCAAAATATTGTCCATCTTAAAACTGGTTTCATTTGAAAGTTTAGCCGGGAATGACTTCTCTGAACGGGGTAGGCAAGCGGAGGCTCACTGCCAAAGAAACCTCAATCGCCAACTGTGAAGTATTAGAGGAAAAATATCGCATCGCTGTTCAAGGAATTTTCAGTGTTAACAGACTGGTTGTTTGCCTTCGCTTTTTGTAAAAAATAAACCAGGAAAACTGGTGTCCTCGCTCGTTGGCTGTTTGCTTTTGCTTTTAAAGATTTATGTACTGAAAATCGGGGGAAATTGCCGAGGAAACTGATATGAAGCTAAGACAACGGAAAAATAGAAATTTCAGTATTTTAAATTCGAGCGCGCCTAGCCAAAATAATGAAACTAGTAGAACATCGTGTCGCCGTCTTTTCGAAAACTTTTTACCATCTACGCCAACAGAAATAACCTTCGAGATCTCCCTTAAGGTGGCTCCCTAGAGTAAATTGGCCGTGCGCAGCCTGAGCACTAGTATGGCGCGAGCTTTAAAATCCGCGCGACGTTCACGCAAAAATTAAAACAAACATGGCCTCTCAGTTTCGAAATATTCCCTTCAAAAAACTTTATTAACTTTCTATTGAAGCTCATTGTGCAAAAAGTTTGATTAGTGTACGTCAAACATTTATGAGAGGAGACCATGTTACACCGGTTAGAAGTCACTACTGATCTCCAAAAGAGTAAATTGTATGTAAAAACAAATTAAAAGCAGAAATTTTCCAAAGACATCAATTCTTTCGCTTAAAAAGTAGACAAACGTTAAATAGTCGAAGTAAATGGACAATGTTTTTGCACAAAGAGAAATAATTTTTACTCACAGATTGAGCCTTGACGAAAGCAATAGTTGTCCGTCGAGACCTACGGTCTTGTACATGTAGCTGAGGACATGATGTACGATTTATAGATCGACGCCATCTTTTATAATTTACAGCAGACTTTTAAAGAAAAACTTCGCCGTCGAAATTATCCCTAAAGAAGAACAAGGTTGAAAAAGTATCCGGAAGTGGGCTGACATTTGAAGATCTGCAAACAGTGCACAGCAGATTAGGAAATGAAGGGCTTATTGAGATCCTTGCACCACCACCGTCTTCATCGCCGACGATCGCCATCCCCACGAGTGACCACCACTGTTCGAATTTTAGCTACAATAGTCAAGTACTTCGAAGAAAACATCCTGTGTTAGGTATAAAATTGAATCCGCTATCTATCCTTTTTCAACTGGCGAGATATCACCGTAATAATGCTAAAAAACTTCTTCAAAACAATGGCTTTCGTACTCTTCAAAGAAACCACATGTTTTCAGTAGCTTTGTGCATTATGCGCATGCGGGCGTGATGGCTCGCGCGCGTATTTTGCGCAAACGACCCCGAGCCACGCGTGTTTTTCGGATTTTTGTGACGTCAACTTAGTTAATTAACCGTGAATTTCTCGCGTTTCCTTCGGTAAATTTTTTTAAAAATAGCCTCATTTCTTAACATTTGCAGTACCTTTGTACTGTCCTATTTTTGTATGTATGTATGTATGTATGTAAATCTTTATTTAAACACGGGAAATCATCAGTTAAGCTTAAGTTAAAAACTAAAACTAATTACAACTGCTTTACATGATTGCCGTGTGGGAATCCGATATATCAGCTACCTTCTTGATATTTCGCTTAAAATGCTCAACGGATGCAGCGTTTTTTAAGTTTTTGGGCAAGTTATTCCATAACGTGGCCCCGCTGTAAGAGAAGCTTCGTTTCAAATAATTGGTGCTTGGTTTGGACAAGGTCAGCCTTCCCTCAGAGTTTCTTAAATTGTAAGCAGAGTGACGCTGAGAGAAAAGACTTTGCAGATATTCTGGAGCAAGGTCATTCATGGTTTTATACATCATTACGGCTTTTTGTTTCTTTCGTCGAAGAGATAGCCTCTCCCAGCTGAGGGTGGAGAGAAGGTGGTTTGAGCTCGTATCAAAGGGTGATTTAGTAATAACTCTGGCTGCACGATTCTGTAATTTTTGGAGCTTATCACTCAAGTAACCACTCAAACAGTCCCAGACGGGGCTGCAGTAATCAAAATGAGGCATAATTAAAGCGTTATAAATTTGAATTGCAGTTTCTTTGGATATAAAGGGCCGCACATGTTTTAGGGCGCCTATAGCTGAAGAGACTTTCTTGCAAATCTCTTCAACGTGTTTACCCCAAGAGAGTTGAGCATCTATGGTAAGACCCAAGGATTTGGTATGATCGACTCTCTTAATAATTTGGTCATCAATTCTGATTTCTACATCGTCACATTGGGCAGATAGTCTTTGTCTTGATCCAATAATCATTAGCTCTGTTTTAGCAACATTTAGACTGAGCTTGTTAGCTTTCAGCCAACAGCTAAGGTTATTTAATTCAGGGGTTAGAGCTAGCTTAAGCTCTGTTAACGTCTTAGCAGATAACGTAAGGTTGGTGTCATCGGCAAACATTCTTGGTAAAATCTGTAAGAGCTTGTTAAAATCTGTAAGAGCTAAATTCCTCCATTAAGAAAAATTACAAATTTCAAAATATTGGCAAAACCGTCTTCACGACCCCATGTTTTTTCCACTTTAAAATGTTAAGCAATATCGTTAATATAAAGTGGCAAAGTTTAAAGACATTTCACCGAGGGAAATAAGAAATATTAAGAAAAAATGATCAAAAATGACAAAATTACTGCCTGATTAAGGATGCGATGTTGCCATGGTAACGGCCTTAATCCAGAAAATGAAACTTGATAAAGGAGCTTTCTTATATGGGTAACCTTAGCGGTGAATCTCGTGAACAAAATCGCAAAGACAAAGTCACTAGATTTCGTTGTGTAACGTATGTTAGACAGCTAGGGTTATTAGTAAATACTCTAGGGAGCCACCTTAATCTTAGTCAGCCAGTCTGCATTTTCCTCACGCGTGAAAAATTTGCATACTAGAAAAACAAGCAACGGAAGTAATTTTGGTTCGCTGATTCGGCAAATGTCAATCAATCAAAAAAGTGGGCGGCAGACGTTTCGTAGAAGGTTTGTATCAGGCTCTCTTTTCGTTTCGCCATGCCCGCCGGAATGTTATTTACAAAGCGAAACGAAAATAGAGCCTGATCTCAGGTTATATAGGCCTAGTATGGGAGTTGATCACTACCGGTCGGATTATGGGCTCCTGCAAAAATCTACTCTGGCGACTTTTCCAGAACGTTAAATGAGTACAGGTCAGAATGAAAGATTCTCGCTTACAAATGGTGGTACATACTACATTTTTCCAGGAATTTTAAAAAAAAAAACAGCGATCCCTAATTATGAAACGAAAATTACAACTTCTACGTGTACATTTTAATGTAAATAAAAGATAGTTGATTCAAGATGTTTCTCAGACCCATAGGCGGCGGCTCTCCCCCCTTCCCCCACACAATTTTTTTTTGTGGGGGGAGGGAGAATTTCCCCACGTTTTGGTGCCGACAAACACTTCTACGGATGTATTTGACAATACCTGTGACATGGGCGACTTCAGAGAGCACATTTCTGCCCTTAGACGACCTAAGAACTACGCTGACTGATGCCTTGTCCGAAATCGATTACGGACACATTAGACACCAAGGGGTTTGTTTGAGCCAACGAACGACGCAATGGGTATTTTGGAACATCGGAGTAGGGGTATGCGTACGGCTGAATGGAAGTTGAGCCCCCACCAGCCACGTTTCAAAACACTTCGCCGCATCAGATACCAGACTATGACCATAAAATGATTTACGTAATATGTGTTAATTTATATGGGCTGATTATCAAGTTTCATCAGATACAAAATCTCGTGTTTTCATTGTCATAGCCTCCATTTTCTCGAGATTACCAAGGTGGTCTCAACATTTCCCAGACTGACTCCCTCTGCTGTTACCCTGATTATACTTACTTATAGGACAAGGTCTTATTGTACAAGGTGCTGTCTCCTGCCCGTTACCCGTGCATTCTCCACCATGTTTTGGCGCAGGGCTATCACACTCGCGTGTTCTAACCTTTGTTCCAGGTCCACATGTTGCACTACACACTGTCCAAGACTCCCATTGGCCCCATTTTCCTTCAACTAAAAGTAAAGTAACGACTCAAAAACATATTGCCTTAGAGAAGAACATTTATAAAATTGAAAGAGAATGTAACCCAGAGTTTTAAGTAGGCCATACATTTACGTTTGCAGGCCCTAAATAGTAAGGTAACTACAGACAGGAATACGTGGAAAATTCGTCACAAAGTATAACAATACTTTTTTTTTTTTTTTTTTTTTTTTTTTTTTTTTTTTTTTTAATTAATTAATTTATTTATTTGCGTCACTTATTTACATTACTTACATATAAAGCATATAGATACATGATTACATTGCTACTATACAGTAATTACTTAACAGTCCAGATATATAATACAGAGTAGCGAAAGTTACTTAAGTAGTTTTTGCATACTCACGCGCACACCCACACACGCACACACACGCACCACGCACGATTACTGATTATCCGCCTAGAAACGTCCTGAAAGAGCCTCTAGAGAGTTAGCGCGATTGCTGTTCTCCGTACATCTCGACAAAGGAAATAAGACTAAAGATCATTTTCCTGGATAAACGCTCCCCATTTTGCATTGAAATTTCTTAAAGTCCCAGTTTTAATTGCATAACGTCTTTCATAATCAAGACAATTTAGAAAGGTTCGAAAAAAGAGTTCCCATGAAGGGTTAAAACCTTTTTGGTTGGAGAAATAGATGTGATACCTCGCGATTAAAAGTGCATGATGGAAAAGCAGGTTTGTAGTATCGTTCACGAGGCCTATGCAAGTCAAAAAGGAGAATTCTTCGTTAAGAAAGCAAGAGCTTTTTTTCATCCAGTTACTAATTTCATTCCAAAAGGATTTATCAAAAGGGCATGCCTAAAAGAGGTGCAATAGAATTTCCAAGCTTTCTTTGCAGAAACTGCATTGATCACCAGATGTGATTCCAATTTTAAAAAGAAAATAGTTCGTTGCCAATTTTCTGTGCAAAAGTTTAAATTGAAATATGTCACGTAGTTTAGATTCGTAGGTACATAGAAATGCCAGGGTGTACGACTTACCCCAATCAATCGTGTCAAAATCACAAAAGTTGCAGTCTGTCAGCCATTTTTCCTGACTTTTACAAGGGATAGAGGCGGTTTGAGTTAGAAAAGATTTGTAAGCTAATTTACAGAAAGCTTCAGAGGATAATAGGCTTCTGGTGTCGGTTTTAGCACCGTTCATTTGTGGACAATGGTTTTTACGTTTTATATTCGAGATGGCACATATCACTCCGTGGTACTGTAGAAAGTGAGCTTTTATCGCAAACTTTTCCCTGAAAGTATCAAACGTTAAAAATTGTGAATCCTCTTCCAAAAGGTCATTTACGAAATAAATACCTGCCGTGGACCAGTTACGATAGTGGATAGGCTTGTTGTCAATACGTATAAGAGAGTTGTACCAAATTGGTGTTTCGCCGAAGTTGGAAAGTTGTTTTTTAAAATTCAGAAGTGACCACGTTTCAATAAGTTCTTTAGTAAAGGGGTCTTCTATTCCCAGGGAGGCAACATCATCCGAATTAAGGTTACCTTGCAAAAGAAGGTTAATGTCGTGACTTATTAGGGAGAACTCTACAAACAGCTTCCATTTTCCTCTGTTATGAGGATCTAGATATCGTTGAATCCATTTCGCTTTAAGAGCACGATTGAAACTTTGTAAATCTAGCATTTTGAGGCCACCTTCGGTAAAGTCATTGATTATTTCTGTTCTTTTGACCTTATCTTGTTTGCCATCCCATAAGAACTTAAAGAAAACATCTTTTATTTCTTTAAGTTCATGATGCGCCGATGGTAGAGGGGACAAGATGTAAACTAGCTGCGAAGCAAGCAAACTCTTAATGACCGTTATTTTCCCAAGAAGGGTTAATCTTCTGAATTGCCAAATATCAACTAACCTACAAATCTTTTCCTTTCTTTCTTCATAGTTCAGTGTTAGAGATTCGCCTTTAGTTGTAGAGAACCAGACCCCTAAGGCTTTAACTTTATTAACAGGCCACATAATATGTTGAAAACCCGGGATTACTCTTCTTTGCAAACGCGAAGAGCCAATCCAAAGAGCCTCTGTTTTTTCGTAATTGATTCGTAAGCCAGAGATAGTTGCGAAAGAATCTAAAAGACTAAAAGACTGGTGAACTGAGTTGTCTGAGCCATCTAGGATCAAGGTTGTATCATCTGCGTATTGACTTAGTTTACATTCTGTGCCTAAAACACAAATGCCTTTGATTTGATCGTGGTTTCTTATGGCATTTCCTAGTATTTCAACACATAAAATGAATAAATACGGGGATAAAGGACAACCTTGTCTGACACCTCTAGTAAGATTGAAAAAGGCGGAAGACCAACCGTTATTTTGAATGCAGCTGCTTATATCATTATAGAATAATTTAACCCAGGTAATCAAAGAGTCACCAAAGTTATAATAGCGGAGAGTTTTTTCAATAAAGTTCCATTCCAAAGTATCGAAGGCTTTCTCAAAATCTATAAAAAGTAAAATACCAGGGATGTCCTGGCTTTCAGCGTAAGTTATTAAAGTATAACAATACTTTGCGGTGGATGTACATAACTCAAAATATATGTTCTCATCGATGAAAATGTGAAAGAAAAAAGATGGATCTGGAAACCAGTGTTAATTTAATTAATTTTCAGGAAGTTGTTCTTTTTTTGTAAATAAACCGACACTATACTTTAAGAAAAAGAAATTTGCAGGAAAGATTTGAGTTATAACATTATATACAACATAATGACTTACCCGGGCAAGGAGATTCACAGTCAAATGAAGTGTCTGTATCCTTTCCTGGACATTCCTCTCCACCCCTCTGGGGACGAGGATTGTTGCAACTCCTTGTGCGAGTCACTTTGCTTCCTCCACATGACTTTGCACAGGCAGACCAGTCTGACCAGTCTGACCACTGGCCATTGACCGGACCAGCTGGGAAGGAAAGAATATTGCCACCCTTACTAACATTGATATAGTATTACGTATTTCACTATTGTGACAGTAAATTAGGCATGCACACTGGTATATGATCAGAAATTCCCCAGTGGACAGCCTTTTCCGAATTCAACAGCGTAGTATGGCTGCTAAAATTAACAATGTGACTTCTAATCCTTACAAAAATAATAATCATGCGCTAATAGCCCCTACATTTCTTGGCACTTTAAAATACTTTCATAAAAACATAACGAAGAGGGAAAAACAGATTAAGTTCTGGGAAGTTGATTTAAAAGGTAAGATTTCAGAGATTCAAAACGCTATAATTGAAGCACCTTTCCGAAGACTTTTGAGAGTGTTCGTGAACGTGTTCCAGATTTTAGGTGTGCCAATAGCTAATGCATTGATAGCCGTAAGTTTTTTCTTTAACGCATGTCCTTTATTGCGAAGTGAGTGCAAATCATTCCTTTTGAAACTAACTACGATTGGAATTCCATTGCTGCCTTAAGCAATCAAGCGTCTCTCTGACATGCTTCCTGCCATGGCTACATCGATATTTGGCATCCGCTTTGAGCACGTGGACCGATAAATTTCAAAGTCAGTCTTCTTAGGTGCTCTTAAAACCCCCTTTTTTGTTTCAGTTTATAGCAACCTACTTTCGCAAGGTTGATTACAGTCGTTTTTGGTCTCCTTGGCGTCCTTTGAATCACATGGTTTTCCTCCATTCTGAGGTGCTGGGTTATCACATTTTCTCTCTCTTGTCACTGTGGCACCACCACACGTCTTACTACAGGGAGTCCAACTTCCCCAGGCACCCCAACCACCATCAACTAAAACAACATTGAGGCAAAGGAAAAAATTACATCTGCTGAAATTTATGATGGATATTAGGTCAGAAAAGGACTTTGAACTTGGTTTCCAGATCAAGAAGATTTTTTTCGTTTATGAAACTGGCCAGGGAACGGCGATAGTATATCATTCAAAGGACACAAATATGCATTGACGGTCAAAAAATACCACTGAGTTGAAGCAAAAATCTGGTGTAAATTTGTCACTTGCCTCTAGGAAACAATTTGTTTAACTTTGTACTTTTAGAAGCACAGAATAATACACGGAGTAGAGCGCGAAATACTGATGCTTCGCAGGCCTTTGAAATTCAAAATCCCAAGAAAATATTTCTTTATTCAGCCTAAGTTTTTAATTCATGATTAAATTTAAATCGCACTTTGACAGGTTCCTTCTTCAAATGACTGTCCAATGCACGTTTTTCCACCACCAGACGGGTTGGGGTTTGTGCAAGATCTGGTTCGAACTTTCTTATTTCCACCACACAGTCCAGCTCCGCAACCACTCCACTGACTCCAGGGCGACCAATTGCCATCCACTACAAAGAAAACGGCCATCATTAGCAAATGGACTCTCGTAGAAGCAGCCACTTAAGTCCGAAGGTCGTGCCTGTAGAAATATTGGTAACAAAAAATATATTCCCGACTGTAAAATCAGCCCTGCTTCTTTTGCTCGACACTTACCATATTTATTCGATTAAACGCTGCAGATGGAAGCAAAACTACCAATAAACACCGCCCTCGAATAAACACCTCGCCTCATCAGAAAAATACCGTGTTTACGCGAGGATAATGAGAAAAAACTCGTTACAACTTGGTAATTTACACATGTCAACAAAATATTAGAGACATTGAAACCTTTCAATTATTTACATAATATTTACAAACGATTTACAGTAACTGTTGTCAGTGAGTTTTTTTACAAAAAAAGTGATTTCAAAATAAACGCCGCATCGGAAACGCTAAAAATTTGATAAACGCCGCGGCATTTAATCGAATAACTACGGTAAGTCCCCTGTGAAGTAGAACCAATGCAACCTTATGAAAGCAACAACTAGACAGCAGAATGCGTAAACGCCACTTGAGCTAAATGATAGCCCTGATCAAAAAAGCTAACTCACGACCAACGTTAACTCATTCCCAGGGTTCTCTCTCTTGCTTCAGAGAACCCTGGGAACGAGGTTGGTTCATGACAACGGAACCCAGTCGATTCAACCCTTCGTTCTTTGAAGCTTCAACTGACCATGTTTTTCTGGGATGAGATACTTCTGGAGGTCATCTTTGCTTTTCCCAATCCAACAATTGCACTTGAAAATGAAACTCGGTCCATCTGTACGATCATCTACAGTAACGACAACCTGTGAAATCAAGAGGTACCTTTTTGAGTAATTCTATTCTTTAGTTAATGCACTTATTATAAATAAATTTGAGAAGAAACAATTTCTTGTTTGAAGGAAGACGTAATCGATTAATTATAGTAATTATAGTATACAATTGCTGTGGTACTGTCAACAGGAGTTCTTTTCTTCTGGACGTCCATGAAAAGACACTCATAATTTTCTCTCGCAGACTTTAATTAACCAGTCATAGTTGAGAGTTTACAAAACCTTCGCTACCTTCCGTTTTCTGTGTTCAGCATTCGAATGACATTTCCTTTATATACAACTAGTTGGCTCGTCCTTCATTTTCCCCTGGAAAACGCATGTACACTTTACTAAGGTTCATAAAGGAATTTATGCGTTATCTGCTCTGCATTGGTATTTACAGGGATAAATTCGGAAAGATATCGATTTACTTCTCACCTTCTCTAAGAACCAATCTGTCGATATCAATCCTTTAGTATCCTTTCGAATACTGATCTTTAATGGGTTCCCAATGTTTGGAGAGTAAACGTTAAAGGGCATCGTGCTAAAACGAAAAAAAATCCCATCTGAGACAACCCTCTCATTGAAGTAGAAGAATCTTGAAGATATCTTTCATAATTCGGCTTAATGCTTCTTGGAAAACAGAAAAGAAAGGAAAAGATAAGTTTTGTACTGTACTCCAGACGAAGCAATATCTTGATGTTCTTAAACCTGATAATAGAGTTATGAAAATGTAAAATTGTTTGTTTAAATTTCATCCAATGGAATATTGGAGGGAAAATTTTTTTTCTGTAACTGTTCTTGTTTACAAAACTATTTAAGCTGAATTTGTGGACGTTATTTAAAGGATATGCTTAAGATCAAGTAATCTAGTATTGTACACATGCATCATTTATTGAGCTCGTTCTTTTAACTCAAGAATTAAGTAGGACTGTTGGAAAAAATTAGCAGCAGCATATTAGCAGGTTTAAAAAGAGTTTTCAAAACTGACAATACACGACAACGAGTTTATTGAACGGCTTCAAATCTCTGATATAGATCAACTCATTCTTGCACTAATATTTAGATTTAGGCCTATTTTGGTCTAAAAAATTGGACGCGTCTTAATCAGATATAAAGACACTCATTAAATATTAAGGAGGAATCCGTCAGAAAATTGAGTAATTTAAATAATTATTAGTGGACAAAAACCTCGTACTAGAATAATTTAAACAATATCGCACTATTTTTTACATTTTTCAAGGGCTATAGATATAATTACAGTGGAGCCCCGCCTTACGACCACCCCGTTGGTAAGACCACCTCGTTATTACGGCCATATTCCTTCAAATCAAACGTAAAAACCATTGGGTCATTTTATTATTTTGAAGACCCCGTTAATGCGACCACCTCTTTATTACGACCAGGATTTTATGGCACAACGGTGGTCGCATCAACGGGGTTCCACTGTAGTTATCTCTAATAACACCAAAGAATATTTTTCATGGGATGTCATTTTTTGAAATTTGACTTTTATTTTCTCAGGATCTCATAAGAAATTTTCTTCGGTGTTATTACAATTACAGATAACAGATAACATCTATCTACAGCCCTTCAAAAATGTAAAAAAGAATGCGATATTGTTTAAAAGTTTTTTGTCCACTGAAAATTTGAAATTACTCGTACAATTTCCTGATGGATTCCGTCTTAATTTCTTATGTTTTTTCTTTATAAATCATTAATGGTTTTTGAAGGGGAAATATCATATAGCGCATTTCCCGACAAACCTTCCTTTCTTAAACTTCGTTCCCAGTTCCACTTCTCCATGTTCTCCTGTCTCTCCAATCAATTTCAAAAACACACGGGACTGAGTCCCCGATTTAGTCTCGGAGCCAGTAGTAACGTCGACATAATACAAAGTCCCTATAATGGTAATAAATAAATCTCAGCTCTTAGATGGGACTTCTTAGCGCTTTAAGCGAATTTTGCCCAATTTTTTCATAAACATTCCCACATGAGTGCGTAGGACTCAGTAGCTTGTAAGCTCTTGTAGCTTTACACTGGCATTTGCATACTGTTGCCAATTCGCCTTTAGAGCTTGTCGTTTCTAAGGACGCCAGGAATTTCACCGATAAAGTTTTACTGTTTTGGTTCTAGATTTACCATTTGCTTGCATTTTTGCTTGCGTTTCCTTGGCTCGCGTTTTCTTTGGATTAGCCTTAAACTTAGATTACCAATCTTTGCCTTCCAGAACCCTTCCTTGGGATGTGTTGGTACCGCAGCTAGCAGTTGTCTTTAGGTGAAATTTTTCTGGTAACAAAGCTCTTGTAAAGTTAGTGCCTGCCACATTATTAGCGACTGCAGTATTGTTCTATTTCTATGGGCTTCATAAGAAAACTCACACGTTCGTACCAGTATCCTGGGAAAGGCTTCCCCATAATGGCTAATACGGGGAGTCTCTAGATTACAAAGGCACTTTTATCAAGCCTTTTGGTATCAAGAGGATTCTAGGGAAAGGAAAAACTAAATGGTAAAGGAGGATTCCAAGAGTCACAGCTCTTGAAAGGGTAAATAAGTCTGTATTCCCTGTTTTTAAAAGGGCCTACCTACCTACCGCAACATGATGAACTGTTGAACAAATAAAAGTGTTCAACATATTTTAGGGTGAAGCGCGATGTTCTCCTGAGAGATCGTTTATCCGCCTCATTCCAAGGGCCCAGCTAAGGTATAGGGCTCGTTAGTATGTATGCGAAAGAAGCACCATTTACATTGGTGGTTTAATGAAAGGGTACCTTTTCTTCCAAAAATGCTGGTACATGAAAAGTTATGGAGTTGTAGCTTGGGGTGAAAACTTATTCAAATTCATGAACAATCTACTGCCGTCCCAATCGCTAAAAGTCCTTCATGTTATAACTAACACTACTTTAACTAATAAAACAAAAAGGGTTGATGGAGCGTGCCTGGAGCATCGAGCAAGCCAAAGGGGCTAAGTTATAAGAACATATGTACTTACTGTCACTTAGAAATTCGCACTTGGACATTAATGCTTCAACTTCAGTATGCCATAGTGGAGTTGTAAAAATGTAGAATTCGTCCATCACTCCAGAGAAAAATTCTGCATCCTTTCCAGGAAAGTTTCCAACAGTCACCGTTGCACTCCATGGCACGTGCGCCTGTTTTACTATGTTCTTTGTTGAAGTAAAAATCTTAACACTGTCGACAAATATTTTTACTTTTCCCAGTCCTCCATTGTAAACAACAGCTAAGTGGCTCCAGATACCTATTAAAATAATAATAATAACAATAATTAAGTTCAACTAATGGACTATGGATGAGAAAAAAAAGAAAAAAGAAAAGAAATGAAAAATTAAGTAAAAATCCCGAACACACACCGTATTCGAAATGGGAGACTCAATAATATATCTTGTTTCATTTTCTCAGATGAATGAGGATAAGACCTAAAATGTCTACACAGTGGCCAGGTTCCCTTCCCTCAACTCAACTGACGTCAAATTGAAAAGTTATATCGTATTGCAGAGGTGGTTTTAGGGTTATGAAAATGTAATTTGCATGGCCAATTAATTCTTATATTTCCTATTTTGTATGAAAGTGTTAATGCAATGAGCAGGATGCAGTAAGGTATTAATATTGAATTTATTACAACAAAATAAAAAAGAGCGTTCATCATGATTACGTAAAAGCTGTATAAACCAGGAACTTTAAAGGCCAAATATATAGTACGTTGTAGGTAGAAAAGGCTTAACTAACCTGCAGGCACCGCAGGCTCAGTAGTAATGTCAAAAATAACCTTTCCATTAGATGAGGTATGCAGCCAGTGGATTACTGCGTTTGGTGAGCCAATCGACTTTACACTGAGATGATGTAAACCCTTATTTCCGACACTTCCATATATAGTATTTACGCGGTCATTGCTCACAAGACGAATCCAAACAGAGATCGACATCGCATCCTTGCTTTCACTGTCAAGTTTATTTCCATTTAACTCAATATAACCTTGTCCTTTTACCAGCTCTATGCCCTTACGGCAATTACGACTGTATGTATTCGGCGTCATTTGTCCTACAACTGTCCCGTCAATGCCCATCGCGGAGTTCCCAATAATTTTCATTCCTTGAATGTTATCAAATGTTAAGTAGACGGCCGGTCCAGAGCCTGTTGGCGAAGAAACGTAGTCGCTTAGACTAAGGGATAATTAAGTCACTAAGGGGATGATGGATGAAACCCCATTTCTGATTTTGATTCATTTCAATTTTTAAAAGAAGTTGATCATGACACTGATGAGAAAGATCGCATTAATTTTATGAAACGGTTTAACTACTCAGGTGATCAAAGAGGCTCACTTGCTCGGATTGGTTTAGGAATACGTCACATTCCGTAATAATCGTTTGTAGCAATCTCTAATGACTCAATTTACGAGGTCGAGCTTTTACTCCATGATCATGAAATGCATCAGAAGTGTCCATCAAATGAAATCTAGTAGCACATACCTTTACCTAAAATTAGGTGTGTGTAAATGTATATTATAATAAATTGAACAAACATATATAATTCGAGTCAGGTCTTTTTTGCCTGTTAACAATTAGTGAAAGATAAATCAAATCAAATCAAATCAACTTACTATCCGTTGGATATTCACACTTTTCCATCAATTTCTTTACTTGAGACTCGTCTCTTACTTCGTCGAAAATATAGAACTCATCTAGGTACCCTTCGAGGTACATTCCTGTATCACCACCTGTGGAATCAAGATACCTTCCTATCATCACTTTCTGGCCCCACGATATTTGATTCACCTTGCCAATTTGATCCGTTGTTAAGACCTTTTGGCCGTTGACAAATATTTTCAGTTTTCCTTTGCTTCCATCATAAGCGGCGCCGATGTGGGTCCAAGAACCTGAAATGTTTTTATAAGCGTGGTCAGTGTAGCCGATCTCACAGGTACTTCCAAGGCTAAATAAATCTGACAGAAACTAGTTTCTTGATTTTTATCGGTATCTCCTGGGTTGCCTCTGTCTCGACTACCTTATCTTACGTTTAGAAACCTGCGTCCGAGTTTGGCCGTGTCCTTTTCCTTTTTTTTTTTTATTTTTTTATTTTTGGCCCTGTCTCGACTATCTAATCCGTTACGTTTAGGAATCTGCCTCTGAGTTTACCCGTATCCTTTTCTTTTTTTTGTCTGTCTATGAAGCGTTGCATTAAAAAAAGATACATTCACTATACATATTTTTGATTTTTTTAAAATATATATTATTGACTCTTCAGATATTTCACTATTATAAAAGCGTTTCGTGTGAGTTCTCCCCACAATTGTAAATCTGCTTTTCATGATTGCCCTCCCAACACGTACCTATTTCAAAAGCACTTTTTTTATATATACTACGACGAATAAAACATTTTTGGGTTCACTGGTTAACTAAACTTCGAGGTAAAACAACTTAATCAGTCAATTGTGGAAAATTACAGAATGATTTGAGCGTATTAACATTCACTCGACAGTTTATCGCAATACCAAAGAGCTGAGATATAAAGCTTCTCAAGGTTTTCTCGTAATCTAGAATTTTCTTTGGTTGAAAATTTATAAAATTAAGATTTTGTCTGTTTTATTTTATTCATTTTCTTTCCGTACTTTCCTTCCATGACAGAATGCCAAATACCGTATTTATTCGATTAACCGCCCTGGGCGCTTATTAAATTTTTGGGCCTTGAGAGTGGGCGCTTATTCGAGGCTGGGCGCTTATTAAATTTTCACCATTTTCAGCAAGTGAAGTATGTTTATTTTGCAACAAAACAATAAATGCTAATAACAAAACGCGAAGAACTAACAAAGCAAGGTTTCTGTAAAATACTCTGAAGAAAACTCCGTCCTCGGGCAAGTCTCTTATTAGAATTTATTAACTCAAGTGGGTGGGGTGGGGGTGAACGGTTATTTGAGTTTAATTGGTAAGAGGAGGGGGTGGGCGCTTATTCGAGGCTGGGCGCTTATTAACTTTTTCTGCCGTTAGGATGGGCGCTTATTCGAGGTGGGCGCTAATTCAAAGTTGGGCGCTTATTCGAATAAATACGGTAGTGCAGTTTTCAAATCATGACGCAATTACTACCAACCGATTGCAGTTTCAGACGCTGAGCTTTAAATTTTTCATCCACTTCATTGATTTAATAACACGATGACTAAAAACTCTGACGAAATGAAACATTAAAAAGGAAATCAGAACAGCGGCAAAGCTGTTGTTAAATCTTGAATGGTGAAAATTTGATAACAGTACCTGGTATAATGACCGCCTCCGTCTGAACATTAAATATATTTCCTGCTCCACCTTCGAGAACATACATCCAACGGATGTACCCATTAGCAGAACCATATTTGGCATTAACCTCTAACCGCTGAGCAACACCGCCTCCCACGCATGCGTAGATGACGTTGGTATGACTCAAGGTTTCTATTTTGACCCAGGTGATCAGACTCATCTCCTTCTTTATCAGCTTGCCGAGCTTAGCAGGGCTTACGCTCAGATCACCATTTTTAAAATAGAGACCAAATCCACAAACGGGGCCCAAATGCTGCATGGTTACCTGACCCTCAAGCACTCCTTCAATGCCATTTTTCGATTCGTCGATGACAAATTTACCGTTTACATTGCTAAAGCTAAAATGGAGTATGGGTTCTAAAAGAAAAGATTAATATATAATAGATTAGGAATTTATTCATAGCCCGGTTCTTAAAAGGCTGATTAGTGCTAATTGAAGATTAAATGTTTAAATCCATTATTACATCTAGCTACGTAAACATTGTTGAGAGTATCAATTTTTTGTATAGGTAATAGCATGATTTTTAGTGATATTTGGCATAAATACCACTAGTGATATTTCGAAATTGTTATATACGTAATTTCACGAGCCATTAGGCGAGTGAAATTTGAGAAATTTTGAAATA